ACAACACTGAGCATTTGCCCCCCCAGAACTTACCTATCTTCTAACTGCAAGTTCTGCCCTTTGATGCCCTGAGCTTCCAGGGAAGTGTTTGAGGAACAGTATAGCTCTGTCTGCTCACTTGAGAGGAACATGTTCCATGAAATATTGGAAATGTTGGCTGAGCATCTGCCATGTGCCAGGTACTGTGCTAAGCTCCAGTAACACGATGATGAGCTGGAAGACAGTCTCTTCCCATGAGTGCATGCTGTGCTGGGGACAGAGTCCATGAAAACTTCATCAATATACTATACAGTGATAAATTCCAGGGGTGCTATGGAACATAATGAGGGGCATTTTAATATTAGTTAATGCTCTATTTAATTAATGTTTCATTTAGAGGTACAATCCCAGGACAGCAAACGTAAGGAGAGAAATAAGTCCCGGAAGGACACAAAGTGGCTCTAATGGATTGTTAACAGAGCTGATGACAGTTTAATGAAAAGACATCGTTGTTCAGCCATGCATGTCCTCAGACAGACCCCACAAAACCACTAGTCCTCAAAATAGTCATCTGGAGGGAGAAAGACAGAGAAAATGATATGCCAACCCCTTCCTGCTTCTCATCTATAATTTGCAGCCTTCCCTGGCATGTCAATTTAATTACTCTGCATTTCTGGGTTGTTATTCAGCTCCTCTGACCAACTATCCCTAGCCTATATTTAATGCCCCAGTGCTTTATCGGCACCCCAAAACCGGGAAGGTGTCAAAGTCTCTTTGGGTGCCATAGCATTTAGGGTCTCCTGCAACAACCTAGGATGCAGCTAAACTTGGATTTTTGGATAAACATAAAATATGCCTCCAATATTTCATGGAAGATATACTAAAAAATGTTACCCATTGCTTATCTGAAATTTAAATTTCAGTGGGTGTCCTAAACTTATATTTGCTAACTCTAAGAGACTTCCTCATCATGGGCCTGGGCATTGGAGCTGGGGGCCAGCTGAGTTGGACACCACGTGGTCCTGGAATTAGGAGGATGAGCCAGGGATCTCCACTGGCAAAACAGCCCTGGTCTTGGGGAGCCGCTGAGGGAGGCTAAAAAGCAACACAAATAAGTTGGTGTGATTAAAAAAAAAGAAAAAAAAAAAAGGTCTGTGGATTCGAGGGAGACCTCTGAGGAGAAGTCATGGTTTTGTTTTGTTGGTATTTTTTAAAGTTTATTTATTTATTTATTTAAAAAATTAAAAACTGAAATATCTGTTTCTACTAATGTTGTTGAGAGAAATCATGTTTAAATTGTAATAGCAAGAATTAATCTGAGAGCACCTGAAAGAGCTCTCCAGGTTTGAGTAACTGCCTTCATGGTATTCTTTGCCTGTATCTCAAAAGACAACTCTTCTTTTCTCCTCAAATTTTATTAGTTTTTTACATGGCTATGTGATTTGGGGAATACAACATCACCCCTCATACCTGCACACGCTTCTCATATCTCCACCAAAGCTCTGGGCCAATGTTGGCCTTAGCCTTCCTACCACCATCTCCTCTGATAACCAGTCTGTTTTTTACAGTCTAGAAATATTTTGCTAGTTTCTTTTTTTGTTATTTATATACCGTAAGTGAGTGAGATCAAAAGACAACTCTTTAATTTGAGTCTGCCTTTGCAGGGCCTTCTGATAAACACACACTGTCACATGTTCTTACCTATTCAAATTCATGCTAGGGTGAAATTGTGGGAAACCCCAAAACTCCCAGGAGATGAGGTGTGACCTGCTTAATAGTCACCACGCAGGATGGGGTTCTCACAGATCTTATAGGGTCTCTTCAGAACAACAGAAAAAACAGAAAGAATTCTTCGCTAAAGCAACCAATGACTTAATTCACCTGGTGGTAAGTTAAGTTACAGATGGCATCACACCCAGCCTCTGAGGGAAGGAACTGACAAAGCAACACTTAAAGCCTCAATTTAGGAATCAGATCTTCAGAAAAGAAAATATTGTCACTATGGTGGCTGCCCCTCCCAGATTTTCCAGAACCAGGTTTATGCCAGAGTCGTCGTTCTGATCCATAAAGAGATTCAGACTATTTTCCTAGATTCCTGCAATAAAATAAGAAAGGGAGTGGTCCCTGCAAACAAAGCCACCTTTCCTCCCCCTTCCAGAATGCAGGGGAGATGAGGACGGCTCGGGGGACGCCTGAGTGAACTCCCAGCCCACACTGAACTAAGCCTCAGTTGTTCCTCATGGTTTGGCTCTGCATGAGGTGTCGTCGGAAGGTGCAGGTGCTCAGATGGAGAGAGAAAGCAGATGTGGGACTTCCCTCTGGAGGAAGTGAAATCACTCTTACGAAACACAAATGTCTTTTGTAGAATAGTTGCCTTTTCTTTGACAAACCGAAGATCAATTTTCAGACACAGGCTGTGGGGTGCGACCATCTGGAGAATTTATGTGATTTCAGATGCATTTCAGGACAAGAAAAAGTAGAGGAAATTGCTGGTGAGCAAGGAAAGCAGTGGGTGAAACTCCTGGTCAAACTGTGTGGTTGCTTCCTCCTGGTTGGCCATTGTAAGCGATTCCTCCTGGGGCAGGCAGATTTAAGTGGAGCTGAAATGTCCATTATTCCATTCTCCCTCTCATTGTGTCCCTGTGAGTTAACAAGAGAACTTCTGTGAACACAGCGGGGACATAGGCTTGGGATCATTTGAGGAACAGGAAAATTTCAGAAATAATTTGTTTCTTTTATTTTTTAAATGTACATTTGCTCATTTTTTTTTCTCTGAGTACAAAAAAGTGATGAAAGCTGAGTCCACACCACTTTGTTGGGTACTTAGGAGATTCTCAATGAAGATTTGCGAAGTGAGTGAAGATTGTTGAAAACTCAAAGGAAAAGGGGAAAAAAGTAAATAATTCAAAAAAGCTACCATGTGGATAGAATTACCATTGATGATTTAGTGACATCTCTGTAGTTATTTATATATTTGCACATGGCTGAGATAATGTGGAATGTATGTCATGATTTTTTCAATTAACATTGTGGCACACAAGTGCCTCATATTAAAATTGTCTGAAAATAAAATTATGATGCCTGGAGAGTATATATGGATACCAACCACATAATTTCACTCTTCATAGTTCTTTTACCTATTTTTATTTTTATTTTTGTGATGATAAATGTGAAGAGGAGGGTAGTCCAAAAGAAATGACAATGAATGTTTAGAGAGACTGGAAGTCTTAGGTATATCCATATTTACCTTGCTTGTCTTCTATTCACAGAAGAGTAAGAGCTCAGCAGGATCCACCAAAGGGAAAGCCAAGAGTAAGAAACTGTGAGCATGTCTCCAGGCAGTGTGACTTTTCTCATTCTGATGAGCTAGCCCTGTAAGAATTGGAGAAGTGTGTGACTAGTGCAAGAGATTGACCGAAGTACTTCAACTCCCATTTATCTAACTCTAGGATCATTCTACCAAGCTATAAATTTGTAACTAGCTAATTTATACATTAACCAGGACACCTGTGCAGAGTGGACTTCTCCAGCCAAGGACAACGAGGACCCTGGTTCATAAATTCACCCCTCTTGGGTTTAAGTAAATTCTTTGAAGCATACTGAGATGAGAATAGACCAGACAGTGAATATTTCCTGGTTTTACAAAGCACCATCAAGTTTTTAATAGTAAATAGTGAAGCTCAGTCTGTAAAGCTAGGTAATTGGTCTCATTATTTCTAAAAACAGACATCAGCTGCATCAGCGACAGTGGGAGCAGCCCAGTTCCTTTAAACCTCCTTTCCAGGTGATGGTACAGTGATACCTGCGAACTGAAACAGGACTTGTTTAGTCTCTGTCCTGCATTTGGTCCATGGTATGTTCTGGAGGCTCCATGAAGGTCTGTGTCAGAGCTTCATTAACTCCCCTCACTACCAATTAAGGAGCTAAGACACACCCTCATTGTCCCAAGGAATTAACAGAGCTGGGCTTCCTTAACCCTTGTCCTAGACCAATGGTTGAGGGAACGCTGTTCTCGGTGGTGGGGACCAAAGCGTCTGGCATTAACATACAAAAGGACATTCATGGAATTATGCTCTTCTGACGAAGTAACAAATGAATGGCTTAAATTTACAAGGACCACATTCATTTCTATGCATCTGTACTCAATCCACACACTTAACTGAGAATGAAAAACTAAACGGATATCGACATATGAACTGCACACACACAGAGGATGTATAAATGTGTACACACGCGACATGTTCCTTGGCCACTCTCTGCTTCTGGTAAATCAAGATCTAGAAGACAGTGTGGATTTCCTTCTTGCGTGAACCTGTCTGCCTCTCTGAAGGGAACACCACCAGAGGGGGGGCCTGGCTTAGCTGCAGAGGCTGAGGCTGTGTGGATGAGCTTCCAGCATCGAACGCGTGGAAACCTCTCCAGGCTGCTTCTGCCCTGCCCAGGTAATGCAGCTCCTGAGGAAGACCTGGTAGGGTTCGTCACCATGAAACCCACAGGACTTGTGAACGCCGTCACGCTCAGGTGAGTGGGAAGCCCAGGCCTCGGCCTGGTGCACAGTTAACTGAGACGTGGAAGCGGAGTGTCTCAGTAGGGGTGTGTGCCATTCTCCCCAGCATTTACAGTAAATGGAAGCTGGTATGGGAATGCCTGGAGAGAGCATTCTGGGAAATTTTGAGATATTAGGTCTAAGAGAATGAACAAAGAGCAAAATCAAAGCTTCCCTTTAAAGTCAGAAAGCTTGCTCAGAGTGAGCAGTGAGATGTGTGGTCAGGCTTTTGCTGAGAGCCCCACACAGGGTTGCATAGTAACCCCCTGGGGGTGGCAGGGGGCATGTAGCATTGTCTGTGTCTCCAGGTCTAGTTCAACATGATTTTTCCCACGTCCTGATAGACCTGTGTTCCAGTCAACTCTCATTTTCCCCTTTTGCAATTAGATTAGCCTAAAGAGGAACTGGTGACTGTAGGAGAACTGCTGAAATTTTTTTTTCTGCAACTGCTTGCTTTCCTTTCTGTTCAGTCTGCACCAAGCTTGCTGGTGGATGTGTGGTGCTGGTGTGTGACTGGGGCCGTCTAATCATGAACAGTTTTGGGGGCAACGTTGTCTTCTGTGTGCTTGCAGTATGGGCTAATATGGACATATCGCTGGGACAGATGGATGATACTGGATTTCAAAAATGCAAGGATGCCTTGAAAGTCCCTGTCCTGGAAGTCTTACCTGGAGGAGGCTGGGATAATCTGCGGAATGTGGACATGGGACCCGTGATGAACTTGACTTACACCAGCTGCAGGACCACCGAGGATGGACAGTACATCATCCCTGATGAAATCTATACTATTCCCCAGAAACAGAGCAACCTGGAGATGAATTCAGAAATCCTGGACTCCTGGATGAATTACCAGAGCAGCACCTCAGCCTCCATCAACCTGGAGCTCTCCCTTTTTTCCAAAGTCAATGGCAAGTTCTCCTCTGAGTTCCAGAGGACGAAGACTCTCCAAGTGAAGAACCAAGCTATCATGACCCGTGTTCAGGTAAGAAACCTGATGTACACTGCCAAAATCAACCCCACGTCGGCACTGAACTGGAGGTTTAAGAAGGAGCTCCTGGGCATCTGCGACCGTCTGGAGAACAACCAGACTCGTATGGCGACCTACTTGGCAGAGCTCCTGGTCCTCAATTATGGCACCCACGTGGTCACCAGCGTGGATGCAGGGGCTGCACTCATCCAGGAGGACTATATCAGGAGCTCCTTCCTGCAGGACAGCCAGAGCAGCCTCAGCGCCATCACCACGTCCGCAGGAGTGACCTTCCAAAACATCGTGAACTTCAAAATTGAGGACAAGGTAGTCTTGCAGGACACCTTCACCAAGAACTACCTCTCCAACCGCACCAACTCCAGGGTGCAAAGCCTGGGCGGCGTTTCTTTCTACCCAGGCATCACGCTCCAGGCTTGGCAGCAGGGCATCACCAACCACCTGGTGGCCATGGACCGCACAGGGCTGCCGTTGCATTTCTTCATCAGCCCCGACCTGCTGCCCAACCTGCCGGTGCCCCTGGTGAAGAAGCTATCCAAGACTGTGGAAGGCGCCGTGAGGCGCTACTACGCCTTCAACACCTATCCTGGCTGCACGGATGTCAATTCACCCAACTTCAATTTTGAGGCAAACACTGATGATGGCTCTTGTGAGGGGAAGATGACCAACTTCTCCTTTGGGGGTGTTTATCAGGAATGCACTCAATTCTCCGGGAGCGAGGTAGTGCAGCTATGCCAAACCTTGGAGCAGAAGAACCCGCTCACTGGCGCCTTCTCCTGCCCCTCTGGCTACTCCCCGGTCCGCCTGCTGTCGCAGACCCACGAGATGGGCTACAACCACCTGGAGTGCCAGCGCAAGTGCACCCTCCGCATCTTCTGCAAGACCGTGTGTGAAGACGTGTTCCGGGTGGCAAAGGCTGAATTTAGGGCTTTCTGGTGCGTGGCCAATGGCCAAGTACCCAACAACTCGGGGCTCCTTTTTGGGGGCCTCTTTAGCGAGAAGAGCATAAACCCTCTGACAAATTCCCAGTCGTGTCCAGCTGGCTACATTCCACTGAGTCTCTTCGAAAGCCTCAAGGTATGTGCCTCCCAGGACTATGAGCTGGGAAGCAGGTTTTCCGTCCCATTTGGTGGATTCTTTAGCTGTGTGGTTGGGAACCCTCTGGTGGACCCCGCCATATCCAAAGATTTAGGGGCCCCTTCTCTGAAAAAGTGTCCCGGGGGCTTCAGCCAACACCTAGCGCTCATCAGCGACGGCTGCCAGGTGTCCTACTGTGTCAAGGCCGGCCTCTTCATGGGAGGGGCTCTGCCCCCTGCCAGGCTCCCACCTTACACCCGGCCACCCCTCATGAGTCAGGCCCCCACCAACACTGTCTTGGTGACGGACCCCGAGACCGCCAGCTCCTGGATCAAAGACCCCCAGACGCACCAGTGGAAGCTGGGGGAGCCCCTGGAGCTGCGCAGGACCATGACCGTGATCCACGAGGATGCCGGTGACCTGTCGGCCAAAGCGACAATCGGGATCACCATGGGGGTTGCTGCCACCCTGGCAGTCGCCATCCTGCTGCTGGTCATCTACAGGACCCGCAAGCACAACAACAGGGGATACCAGGCGATCCAGGATGAGAGGCAGAGTCTGGCATCGGGTATTCCGGACCATGGAGACAATGCTGACCAAAAGCAGGAGCTGTGTCCAGCCTGAATCTCCCAGACTCTCGCGTCCATCTCCCCGGAGTTTCTAGCATGACCCTCACATCTCTCTCCACTTCTGTCTTCCTAAGTATTGAAATGGCAAGAACCACAAAAAGCAGGTACAACTTAGTGACTTCTTTAGGTCTCTGGGACAGAAAATTAATAGAACAACCTGGGGTGGGGATTTTAAGGAAAGCTCATCCTCTGCACTAAAATATAAAGAAGATGTTGTTTATCTTGTGCCTCACTAGTGATTTACTTCTAAGTGCACACATGTGGAAAGAGAGGGGAGCAGGTTGGTGTTTGGACTGGGGGGGCATGCATTTACGCTGGGGCTGGTGGTGGTTTCTAATGCAAGAGCTAGAAGAATTTCTGCCTTTTAAATGTTGCCCTTCCACTGTTTTGATTTAAAAAATTATATCTGGACTGCTTGCTCCTGGAGGTGAGCAGAGCCCCCAGCGGAGAAAGGAAGTTCTGTCGGCTACTCTTTTATAGATTTGAGGCTCCACGTTGAGCAGAGATGGTGTCTATCAAGTCCACAATATCCAACTTCCCCACGACCAAGACTTATTTGGACCAGACACTCCTGAACTTCACACTAGTGTCTTTTAGGAGCTCAAGAGAAGGGGTGGTTTGGAAATAGGAGTCAGTGAAGAAAGGGTGAAAACTAGAAAATATTCTGGTAATCACGGGATATTAGAATTCTTACCCACAGCCAGGTACAGTTGACCCTTGATTAACTAGGAACTTAGGGGCACCACCTTCCCCCCACCCCAGTTGAAAATCTGAGGATGGCTTTTGAATCCCCTCAAACTCAAGGACAGCCATCCTTTGGTATCCCCAGAGATTGGTTTCAAGATCCCCACCCCAAAATCTATGGGTGCTCAGGTGCCTCTTAGTGGGTCCTTTGTCCCCAGGGGTTCAACAACCAACTGCAGAACCTCAGGATAGGAAAAAAATCTGCTTGTAGATAGACCTGTGCAGGTCAAACCCGTGTTGTTTAAGGATCACCTGGACCTGGTTTCTTTCTGTTAGTTCATCATAAACAGGGCAAAGGCGCTGCAGACTTGGCCAGATAAACATTATAATTTCCTGGTGTATGTCACCCCAAAACAACCCTTCCTCTTTGATGAGTGGAACTTACCTTCCTGCCCCCCCCCCACCAAACACACACACACACACACACACACACACACACACACACACACACTCTTTTCTAGCATTTTTCTAGGACTGGAAGGCAAGGGAAAAAGCAAGAAGTCAAAATAAGCCCATGCCTAAGTACTCCTTCCTCCCTGAATCCAAAAGAGAGCAGAAAACAGCAATTAGCTATCCACCTTTATTTTTTCCAGTAGAAAGGTGACTGACATGATCAAATGCACATTTTTAAAGGAAATGAGAAAGTCATCAACACCACTTGTGACACACCTATTTCTCTTCCGAGTTGACTTCCCTGGGGCACCTGGTGGGGTCCATGGTGGTCCCTTGACACTTGGGGGTTGACCCAATTTGATATCAGGCTCAGTTAATTGTTACTACTAGGATGAATCTGTTCATGTTTCTCCTTGTTATCTTTGAAAGGTATCTATTTCTTCACCAAATCAAATGTCTTTAGTGATTTATCTTCTCTAAAGGTTCATGTTCACAAGCTTAGGCTTACAATATGTTTTTCTGAGAATTCTGGGGCGTTCCAGTCTTTGGGAAGACGGAGACAGGGGAGTCACTCATTCTGCCACTGATACAGAGAAGTGAATCACAGAAGTTGAGCCTGCTCCTTTGTCTGCCCTGATTTCAACAACCACATCACTTAATCCTGCCTCTGAAGCAGTAAAATGTTCTCCTTGGCCTCTGGTGTTTGGTGGGTGTGTTTCAGCCATGCTAACCACTTTTCTGCAAATACTGATTTTCCCATGAATTTTTTTTGAAGATTCCTCAGTCAGAGAGACAAAGAAAAATTGAAGGTCCTCAGACTTTTAATGTACTAACTACTCATTGATCTAAAATGTTCTTATGTTGCCTTATATTTCTACTAACACAAGTGCACATACTTAAGCATTAAAATGTATACTTAAGGAACAATCTGTCCGACTGTTGATCCGAAAATCTGGAGTGTGGGAGTTTGTCTGCACCCTCCATTCCCAACTGTTGAGTGGGGGGCAGGGGACTGTGAAGACTAACCTGGTCTAACTAACTGTGAAGACTAACTAATCCCACCCTATGGTCTGTAAAAAGCAGAAACTTTTGTCTGACAAAGGTGGCCCAGCATTTGCATTTTACTTGTCTGTTCTCATTAGTATTAGGGTTAATTAGTATTGGATTAATTAGTATTAGGATTAAACATTTATTTGAAAAAAACAGCCTGCAAACTACTGAAATGCACACGATATTGTAATCAAGTGGCAGGAACTTGGAGAAGCAAAGATTTGCAATTTTTAAGAGGGTCTTTCCCCTACAAGTTCATGTTCTTATTTCCCCTGTCATGTGGTCTGTTTCTTAGAGGAACAAGACGTCCTCCTCAGTCCCTTGGTCAATGTGTGGGTGGAAAAAAAGTGAAAAAAATTGAGGAAAGGGATGTTCTCTGTACCCCATGGGATGGTTTGTGGTCACTAACCCCAAATCCTCACAGGCAGGTGCTCGTCTACAAACACAACAGGCCAACAACAGTGTGCGGTTGTTCATTTGCCATTTATTGTTCTGCACGCACACCTCGAGCACCAGGCGGCGATGTCCTTTCAGAGCAACACCATGGACTTGGGGACACACCAGTACAGACGAGGGTTTCCTCAGCACCTCACCCCCCTCTCCCACAACACCGCCCACCCCCACTCAAATGCCAGTGACCACAGACAGGAAAGGGGACAGGGTCCTTCTTGTATTGCGTGAGCCCCCCCGCCCCTCATGCGCAGAACAGTGCATACCAGGATGAGTACTTTTGACTATAAAACCACAGAGAAGTCCGAGTTTTACAAAATTGGGGGAGAGGGGTATGGAAACACGAAGGCACACACAACCACAAACACACAATTAACCTCTTAAAGGATAAGCATCTGACAAGGTTTGTCTCCAATCCCATCTGCCATCCCTGGAGACTCAGGAAGGGAGAGAGGAGGCTGCTGGTGCTAAGACAATGAAGGGAAAGGCCTGCCTCCCCACCCCCAGCCTGGCCAGGGTCACAGCAGGGTTTCTGGTGGAAAGACACGCTGTGTCAAAGTGGCGGGTGCACAGGGCTCCTGTGGGCAGCGCCAACAGAGACTGTATCTTTCCAGGTTGGCAGTAGAGAAGGGACAAAGGAATCCTCTCCTTCTCCCAGTCCCACTTGGCACAGTGTTAGAAAGGAGATTCAAGATCCCTTCTGCTCAGAATGCCCCCCCAAGAAGAGCAGCTTGAGGACGAGGTTGTCCCTACTGAGCATTCTCAAAGAGGAAGAGAGGGTACAGACACAACTGACGTCCTGGGGGAAAGGCTTGAGGACATGAAGAGGAGCTCTCAGGGGTTGTCGCCTGGCCCACTTCCTGCCCTGTGTGCTACCCATCCTCTGCCTCACCCCCTTGGCTTCCCCTTTCCCCACCCTTCTCCTGCCTGATGCAGGAAAACCAGTCTGTCCCAGCTGCCCACTGACAGTTGTCAAAGCTTGTCTTCTCTCTTCCCCCCACTCCAACTGCAGTGTTCCTCTCCCCACAGAGTCTCAATCTATTTCCTCCTCCCTGTGGTGAGACCAGTGGCCTCTCAACAAGGGGCTAATGATACCAGGCCTTAATGAGACTCTCCGGGGATCTCTGGTAGCCTGGCAAGGGGCGTGGGCATTGACAAACTCTGCAGGGAGGGGTATCCCTTCCATCGAGTTTAAGGGTCTCCTCCCGGTCTCCGGCAGTCCTCCCCAGGGTGCAGTGAACTCAGGACCCAGCTTCTGGCCTACTGGTGAGATAAAATGGCTGCCTACCGATAGGAGACACAGGAACTAAGATGGCAGGCACAATTCTCCCTATCAGAGCTCCCTCTGCTGGAGGCAATTAGCGACCCTATAGCCATATGGAAAGTGAGGAGGGGTCAGGGCCCTCATGACCCACGGATCTGGGCTTCGCATGGGAGATCCACTGCGGGCACTTACATCAAAATGGCTGCCGGCCGCGCAGGAAGCAGCTCCGGAGCCGGCTCTCAGGAGAGCGTGGCTTCCGTTCTAACTTAAGTACCATTTTTGAAGGTTCTTTTGTTCCAATTTTTCTAGCATCAAAAACCTTCCAAATATTATGAAATATATATATATGCATATATATACGTCAAACCCCCAAAACATGAGGTATATAAATTCAAATTAGTATCTAGGGGAACTTCCCCCAAACACATAGTTCAAAGAACCCACTTTCAAAGGGGGAGTTGGGTTTCCCTTCTTGATCCCCCTTCTCTCCTCCCTGACCCTCAATTAACTTCCTAGCGGGAGAAGAAGGCAAGAAGGGGATGGCCTGGGAGGGGATGGACTGGGTCTTGGAACACTACTCAGATGCAGGCCGGGCAGTGAGGTTCCCACCAGTTAGGCGGGAGCTAGAGAGGCTTCCGTCACCCCTAGGTCAATCTAACCCATAAGAAGTTGCCGGCCCAGCACCATCTGGGCTCTCATTAGCACATTTGCATGGAGACAGATTGAAGCCCTCATAGAAACCAGGCTGGACGGGATTGGCTCAGATCCAATCTTGAAAGCTATAAACAGGCCGGTCCAGCCCTCCGCTTACACATCCCCCCAGGCACAGTTCCATTTCCATCAGCATCCAGTTTGCCACGGGATGGATTGACCAAGGGTCCAATTTACCAAGGGTAAGGAAGTCAAAGGTCCACAGCCTGGCTGGTGGACCCCCATCAGCGCCGGGGTTTGACATCTTGCAAAAGAGGGGTAGAAACATGACAGGATTCCCCACCAGCCTGGCCCCGGGGAGTGCGCAGGCACACGCGCGCACACGCGCACACACGCGCACACACACACAGATGCACAGACACAGGCAGCACAGAGCCCTGGGGCCCCACTCACAGTGACTTGATGAGACTTGTGGAATCTTTGAGCTGGTCTGGGGTGCGTTGGGAAGAAGGCTATATGGGCTCCTCTCCCTGAGGACAGTTCAGATGCTAAGTGGGATGCAGGCTCTGGTCTGATCAGAGGGATGGGGCCCGGGGGAGGCCGCCCCGAGAGGCACCCCAGAGCCCACCCACCTGCACAAGAGAACCAGACGCCTCTTTGGACGGGTCAGGTGTGAGGAGGGGGGCCGAGGCTGAGGGCTATTATGAGAGCTGGATCTGCCCCCAGGAGCCCCAGCCTTCCCAACCCTCCTGGCAAGAAGTGCTTCCTTGCTGTACACTGGGACATCGGATTCTGATGTCACAGCAGTTGAGTGGCTCACCCCTTTGCCCCCCAACCTTGCACAGTGAGAGCTCCTCGCCTCCAGAAGAGGAGAGAAAAGCGGAAACTCCGCTCTCAAAGCAGAGTGGAAGCAGCAAGAAGCAGCTGAGGCCTTGGACCTCAGCCTTCACAAGGCCAGGGCATGGGGTGCCCAAGCACTGCCCATACCCTAAATGTGCTGACCACACCCCCTCCTTAGAGGGCTGGGGGGTTCTTGCCTACCCAGCACCGAAATCTCCATGGGGACAGACCATGGAAGACCCTTGACCCCTGGCCCCTTTGTGTCGGATGAGGTTTATGAGAGACGTCACCTTACTCAGTCTGGCTCCCCTGTGTGGTTGGGGGCGGGGAGGAGACAGGACAGGAGGGGAGAGGAGGGAGTCGGAGCACAGGGCCAACTTCTACCTCGACTCTCCCCACCTCCTATCCTGTGGTCCCCAAGGTCCCTCCTACCCAAAAACCCCTCCGGCTCAGTCCTTCTCCTGGACGGTGCTGTCCTCGGAAATGCCCTGGGCGGCCAGTTCAGCCAGCACGTTATCCAGGTAATTGGCATCGGGGTAGCCGTGGCCAGTGAGATTAGAGCCAAACTCCGTCTTGTGGTGGACTTCATTCCAGATGACGGTGTCCGACTCGCCCGTGGTGCTGGAGGTACCGATGGCAAAGATAAGGCGGCGGTCCCAAGCCACGAGCAGCAGCTTCAGAACCTAGGAGACCAGAGGCAGACACGTGCTGATGAGAGTCTGTCCCCTGGGTGGAGGGAGAGCACCCTCCTGGGTCAGGATGCTCTAACGTGGCAGAGTGACCAGGAAGAGACTTGGACCCACAAGCTGAGTCCTGGCTCAGTCACTGACTCACTGGTGACCTCGCACAAGTGACTTCACCTCTCTGGGCTTTCATCTCCTGATTCACAAATGGCAGAGGCACAGTCTGCCTCCACATCTCATGGGCACTGTGTGAAAAGCCCTTCACACAGCGCCTGGCAGGTGCTGCTCAGCAGTCGTTAGCCAGGACACCAGAGCTCATGCCTGCAACCTCCTGAAGTCAGCCCTCCTCCACCACCTGAGTCTGGGTCCCCTCATGGTGACACGCACTGCCCTCTCCCACACTGCTTCATGTTTACCCACTCTCTGCTTGCCACACAACCCAGGCCGAGCTGGTGTGGAACTGTCTCATTCTACAGGTGAGGCCCAGGGAGTGTTGGGTTTGCAGAAAGTTCTAATTGAGCTAAAACTTACAAACTTATATATGTTGGTTGAACAGGTAAACACCAAACACCCTGTTCCAGGCCTCTGACAGCAGCACCCAGCATGGGGACCAGTACTGTTGGCTCAGGCGGGCTACTCTCAGCGTGGCTGGGCTGGAGGTCGGGACCACAAAGTAGTAGCAGTTGACATTAAGATCCGAGCTAGGGCCTCCCCAGTGGCACAGCGGGTTGAGCCCAGTGCTGTGAAGCTGTCCACAGCCTCTGCAGTGCAGGTTCCCACTGACCGGGGAGATACCCACACAGCACAGCAGACCTCTCCTGCCTCACCCGCTGCTCCCCTCAGCAGTGTATTTCAGTCAGTCTGCCTGTTCTGCTCCCTACTCTGTCTCTGGTGAATCCTCTCACCCTCCCGCGCCTCTGGCCTGTACCCCAGTCGTTGTATAAAAATAAATAAATCTTAAAAAAAAAAAAAAAAAAAAAGATCAGAGCTACCCGCTCCTGTGTGTTACGGCTCAGCGCCAGCAGCAGGGCAGGTAGCGGTTATGGTAGTCGGATGAGACAGGGGGCCCCAGAGCGCCTCGTAGTCCCCTTTCTGCTGGTGAGGGGACAGGCTCAGAGGAGAAAAGACCTGTCCTGGTCAAAAAGCCACAGTGCAGGGGGCTTGACTTGGGGTCTGCCTGCTCCACACCCGAGGTCTGCATCCTTAGGGGTCAGGCGGGGGTCAGCACCGAGTCCACAGGGGAGGCTGCTTCAGGGCCAAGCCTCAGAGGCCGGGGGAGGTGAGTTCCATCCACAGAGCCAGAGCGGGACAGGAATGAATGTGAGCAGGGGTGAGGACTGCCAGGCTCGCCACCGCGCCCTGCCCACTCACCTTTCGCCCTTTCTCGCTGTCGGGAAGGTAGCAGTGTCTTGGGAAGCCGCGGGCGCTGAAACTCTTCCCAGGATTTGGGTGTTCTGGGCCCTGAAAGAAGAAGGGGAAAAAATAACAAAGGTTATTTTTCAGAACATTTCTGATGAGGGGGGCACAGGTAGTGACGAACTCAAGTCATGCTTACAAAGAGCACGGCCATAGTCTAGACAGAGAACAACCTTGAGAGCAGGGCACAGAGGCTGGGCCTGAGCACTTGGAGTTCTCAGCCCTCGGTAAATGTGTCTGGGCTGAATAAATGAATGAACAAGTGAACGAATGAATGGATGGATTGATAGATGACAAACCTGCAAGAAAATACAGCCTTTCACTTCCTCTTATTGTGGCTGGTAGTTCCAAAAAGATTAAAAATGCAATTTAATTTTTTTTTTACTAGCAGGGTTGGGTTCAAGATCAGCTGTGATTCAGTGAGCAGGGAAAGGCGAGTGGGAGCTGAACAAGGCAAGCATGTCTGCACCCTTGGAGATGCAGTGGTGGAGACATCACCACTCTGAATTCACATTCACGGGAAATCCTTCCACGCTGACAACAGTCCCAAGGCCGCGCTTATTTCCCAGCCAGGCCTGGCTGGCGGCGAACCCGACTGCAGCTCTGTCTGTTCCTCGCTGCGGGCCTGGCCCCGGCCCAGCGGGCTGTTGCTCTCAGCACGACGCTAAGCTGGGCAGTCACGACTCTGCAGGCCCAGCTCAGAGCTTCCCCCCAGGGAATCGCTCTCTGCAATGAGGGCAGAGCTGAGCAGTCTGACTCCTCAGGAAGCACAAGCTTGCAGGACTGAGAAACAGCCTTGAAATCCTGACCTTCACCCCAAATTAAGCTTTTCTTGTGGTCCTTCCACACTCCAGCTTTCTCTCCCCTACAACTCAGCTGTGTCCTAGAACACACCCCCTTCTCTGTTTCCTTGTGTCTTTCATGGCCCCGAGTCAAAATGAGTCCGCTGCCCTCCCAGACAGGTGGACAAAGCCCTGTTCCTGACCTGGCCAGTATGAGCCAGTAAGAGCCAGTAAGAGCCTCAGTGATGACAGTGCCAGGTATTGGGCACTTTGGGACTGTGCCTGGTACCAGAATATCTACACATAGGATCAAGATCGCCGATTCGGAGGAGACCCCTGCACCCTACTTTGGGTTCCCAGGTGCACAGAGGAAGCTGTGCATGCTTAGAACAAGCTCTCAAGGGCAGGTGCATGTCCAAAATCCCCAGCTAGTAAGGAGTCAGCCAGGAGCTGGAAACAGATCATGGAGGGCTGAGTTCGCCTTGGCTGCACTGCCTCCCACAGCTATGACCATGGTGCCCCTCGTTTCTGCCCAGTGAGACAGATTCATCTTTCTCTGACTGGTTTGTAAATCCCTCAAAGAAAGCCATATTGTTTTTTATTCCATTCACTTACAGGCTATCATCACTACCCTCTGCTTTATTTCCTCTGCATCACACATCACTATTGGGAAGTATCTTATTTGTTGATTTATTTTATCATCATTCTTGTCCCACTAGAACGGGGACGGACCCCTGGGGGGCAGGGACTCTGTCCCTTTTGCTCACTTGTTCCGGAGCACCTGGCACCCACCCAGCCCAAATCCACACTCAGATGTTTATTCAATAAGAAACTAAATAGAGAAGGCAAGGAGGAGGGGGAAGGAGGGTGAAATAATAAATATTTGCTAAATAAATGAATCCAATTAGCACCCTAGAACATTTTAAAAAAAAGCTTCCGTGTGTGAAGGCAGGGACACATTTGTATTTGCTGCCAGGAATGGTATTCGGTCTGTTTCTTAGGACTGTGTTTCAAAGAATCAAAAGAGGAAAGAAATGCCCACAAAAGTCCAAGCCAAGGAATATCTATCACATTACAGATGCTAATACCATTTGACCAAGAAATTGCACTTGTAGCAAATAATTCTACAGACACACTCACATGCACACAAGGTCATTCATGGCAGTGTTATTAGCTGCAGCAAAAGACTGGAAACAATCCACATGCCCATCAAATGGGAGCGGCTGACTATGAATGATGGTCCGTTTATACAATGGATTACTGTGGCGACTTGAAGAATGAGGAAGCGTTCTCTGTACTAGAGGAAGGATGGACAGTTGATACTGTTGACTGAAAAATGCAGGGTGCAGGGCGATGTGTGTCTGATCTGTGCCCCCCACCCCGCTTTATGTAAAAAGGGAGGGGTGGATGTGGTCTTTGTTCCCTGGGTACAAAAGACCCTGGAAGGTCCGTGAGAAGCAGGAACAAAGGTATCGGGATGTGGGGTGGGGTGGACAAGAGTGAGAAGGAGACTTTTCAGAGGAGAATGTTTTCCTAGTTTGGGCTGCAATGACAAAATTTCATAGACTGGGTGGCTTTTCATCAACAGAAATTTATTTCTGCCAGCTCTGGACACTGAAGCCCAAGGCCACAGGAGCTTCAGGGCCAGGTGAGGGCAACCAGGACCCTTGCTTGGTTTCACAGGTTCCTGTCTAGACAGGAATTTGCCTCAAGATGAATCAATCTCGAGTCTCACCCAGCTCTCCTTGGATGATAAATTTTTTTAATTAAATTAATTTTCTTGGGCCTCCCCGGTGGCATAGTGGTTGAGCGCTGGGTTGCAAAGCTGCTCACAGCCTCTGCAGCGCCGGTTCGATCCCTGGCCACCAGGTGAGGGTCCTACATGGCGTGCAGACCTCTCCTGCTGCCCGCTGCTCCCCTCAGCAGTGTACTTCGTCAGTCTGCCTGCTCTGCTCTCCGCTCTGACTCTGGTGAATTCTCTCACCCTCCTGCGCTTCTGACTGTACCCAGTACTTGTATAAATAAATAAATAAATATTAAAAAAAATTAATTTTCTTACATCATTGTTCATTTTTGGACAGCATTTGATTTCTCCTCAGGTGTAGTTTCCATAGTTGTCCCGTCACCATAGCACCTGTCCACATCACCGCAGTCCCTTCCTCCTCTGTTTCGGCCCCTCCCTCCTCCTCCCCTGCTCTAAGTCTCGGGTCTATACTCAGCTTGCAAGTTTTGCCTTTTTTCTGACCCTTTGTTCAGTTTCTCTATATTCCACATATATATGAGAAACCGTCTGATATTTATCTTTCTCCTTCTGACTTATTTCACCTAACATAATCCCTTCCAGCTCCATCCATGTTTCCACAATGGCATGCGTTTATCTTTTTTCATCACTGAGTAGTATTCCATTGTGTCTATAGACCACATCTTTTTGAGCCATTCGTCTATTTGGGGGTATTTGGGTTGTTTCCATGTCTTGGCTATTGTAAATAGTGCTGCAATAAACATAAGTGTGCAGGTTTCCTTTGGAATTAGACAGGACTTTAGACATAGACTTTAAAGTTGATGCTAAAACGAGCCAAGACTTTGGAGAATACTGGGATGGAATGAATGTATTTTGCACGCAAGAAGCACATGAGGTGGGGGGGGAGGGAGTGTCCAGGGAGAAATGCTATAAATTAAAATTTTGTGTCCTTCCAAAGTTACTCTTTGACACCTAATCCCCAATGTGATGGTTTTCAGAAGTGAGGCCCAAGGAAGGTGAAAAAAGGGTGAAGCTCACATGAGTAAGATCAGTGTCCTTATAAGAGGCCCTGGAGCTGCCTCACCAATTCTGCCTTATGAGGACGAAGAGGGAAGACACCTATGAACTAGATTCTCACCTGACTGTGACTCTGCCAGCACCTTGATCTTGGATTTTATTATAGAAACCTGAACAGGCTAAGAAAAGCATCTTTCCTGCAAACATTTACACTTAAAATATTAAAAGCCACCAGCTCAGTGTGGACTCACCTGGATGCCAGGGGGGATGCTGTAGATGATGCGGATGGTCTTGCAGTCGGGGTGGCCGGGCAGGGAGTGAGGGATGAGGTGGTACTCCATCTTCCCCGGAGGCTGGGTGCCTGTCTTCACCCCATAAATGGTCTTACAGGTCGGACACTGCAGACTCCCATCCTGAGGAGACAAGTTAGATTGGGAAACAGTTTTGGTAATGCCCTCCCTACCCAACCTCAAAAGATACAAGAGATACGGGGCCAGGGGCACAAAATGCACCCAAATGAGCAACAGACCTTGGCTCCCACCCACTTTCCTGCTATCTTGGTCGGTTCTGCTTTCTCCAAAGTAACAAGAGGTAAATCCCAAAAAGAGCCCCATGCTCCATGCTAAGGAGACCTGTGCTTAAGAAGGAGACCAGCTGCCCAGGCAGGAGCATATGCAGGGAATCAGTTACTCACTAGGAAAGTCAGACTGTATGTTTCAAGCACTAGACAAGTCCCAGAGAGGATCACCTGGAAGCTTCTGGAAACTAAAGATGCCTGGACCTCTCACAGGTCACTGAACTGAACTTGGCAGCTACTGAGCACAGTGCTTAGGGCTGTGATGCTGCAGTCAAGTGACTGGATTCGATCCCCACTGCCTTCTAACTGCTGTGTGACCTGCACAAATTAGCTAACCTCGCTAGGTCTCAGTTTCCTTATGCAGGGAAGAAAATGCTAGTGTCTCTTCTCACTGGGTTGTTGGCAGGATTCCAGGGGATAATCCACAGGAGGTGCATCTCAATGTGATTAGTATTCCCACAGCTTGGGTGGGGAGTCTAATGCTTCTACACTTGGGGTGGAAAGAGAAGGCAGGCAGAGGTGTTAGAGTGCATAAGGAATGCCATTGATGTTAGTACTTTCAATCTTAAGACAGAATTTACTTTGTTTATTTCATTTATTCTATGTGCTGACATAGAATGAGAAGGGATTATCAAACCCCCTTTCATAGAGACGGGGACTTGAGCCACATTATAATTCAAGGGCTTGCTGCTTGTTAGGGCCCAGTGGGCACATCTAACCCAGCAGCACAAAACCTCAGTGGCACTGTGGGGGGGTTAGCCTTAGGGGGGGATCCCTGGATGCAGTGGCATAAGGGGTCATGGTTTGATAATAGGGGACATAAGGGGACATGGTGAGATGTACCAAGGCGGGGTGGGTAGGAGAGCCTCAACAGTAAATCCTAGTCCAGGATCCCACCAAGAAAAATGGCGAGGACAAGGACAGTGTGCATAGGCCAGGAGGAACTTGTATGAAGAGTTTTCACAGCTGGGTCTGGAGCTCTGGGACAGCCCTGTCTCTCCCCCCACCCCCCTCCCCGGAAGCGGGGCTCCTCCACAGAGCTATTTAAGGTCACATCAATTCAAGCTCTGCTCATTTAAAGGAATAGCTTGTCTTCCTTCTAGCCAGTGGAGATGGTCATAAAGACAGATCCCAGAGCTTGAAGTCAACAAAACAGGCCTCACTTTCCGCTTTGGCCTTGACCTGCTACATGACCTTGGGGGAATCTATTTCTCTCTGGTCTCTTTTCTCCCCTCTTCCGTGTAAAGAAAGAATGCATGTGTCAAAGTATGAGTGCAAATGAGGATAAGGGATAGTGTCTTGAGGGACATTTGGAAGCACCATGGAAATAAACGCCAGGATTAATATTTAGGTTATCTACTAGTGTATGGAGGTTATATACGAGAATATTCTTACATCCATAGGGTCATCATAAAGGGAATGCATATGCCGAAAAAAATCTTGACCCCCTCCCCCCAAATAATCTTTTATAATGCAAAGTCCCAAGGAAAGCTCTAAAAGCTTGGAAAAGGGAGCACAGGAGGCAGCCACGGCTGACCCCTCTGAGACTGAGCCCCAGGTCACCCTAGGGACACTCTGGTCACGGGGCTACATAAAGATGAAGGAAAAGATCACGGCCATATGACAAGGCCATACCAGTCTGAATAACAATAATGACCCCAGGGAAGAAGGTCTATTGTTTTAGCTCCATTTTCCAGATGGAAAGTGCCATCCCGAGGCTGAAAATCTTGCCCACTGTCATTCAGCTAACAAGTCAGGGCTCAGACTCAGGTCTGCTGTCTCTCTTGCTTCTGCTTTTGACCACAGCAAGAGAAGAACAGAGCACCCCCAAATCAGACATGGGTAAGAGGTTGAGGGATATTGGGAACCTCAGCTGCACCCACACTGAGCCTGGAGAAATGCTAGGACTGGAAATGGCAGGAATGAGGAAGGCAGGTTATTCCCGGCAGGGAAAGAACAGGAGAAAACAATCAGTGAGTTAGAAAAAGCTCAGACGCGGTGAGGGGAGAGTTATCATCTAAGGAGAAGCCCCATTCCTGGAAACCAGCCTAAGAGGCAATACCATCCCTCTGTCCTGCACAGACAAGGAAAGTTCCACAAGGATCCTCCTCCTCCTCAGTGGGAATTTAAGGCGGGGGCCACCACGTACACACTGGACAGTCTCTTAGTCCCTTTGAGGGGACCATCCATGGGATTTTGAAACTGTCCGAAAGAAATGAAGCCTGACTGAAGCTTGTTAGTCTTGGAGCAGGAAGGGTGACTGGAAATCCATCTGCAGTGGTTTGAGTGACAGCTCAGGGGGCCCCCAGGAGTGCTGAGAAACCCCTGCTGCTGCATTGATGCGGTCATTACCCCCAGCAAGGCGCCTGACTTCAGACAACCCCCCCAACCCCCAGAATCCTCAAAGCAAAGTCTCTCTCTAAGCCTTCCTCCCCAGCACAGAGACTGGAGGAACTGGGCAGCCAGCCCAGGCCATGTGGACGATAAAGACAGGCCTGGTCAATGCCACACATTTCTGGAGGCCTGATCCTACCCAGCAACCACGATCATCATCACTCCTGCTGCCAGGACTTTCTGAGGAGACCCCGGGCAGCCCAGGCGCCCCAGAGGCCCTCCCACTCTTCCTGTGCCCGGAGGCGGCAGCCCCGGCCCACGGACCTTGTTGCCGTTGTTGTACATGGCGACCAGGCAGTAGATGTGGTAGATGTGGCCGCATCGGGACAGCTTCCCCACCAGGTCAGGCTTGATGGTCGGCTGGGGGCCCTTGTAGCCCGAGGGAAAGGTGAGGCGCTCCATGCAGATGGTGCAGTCCTGGGGGGAGGGCAGAGGGATCAGACCTCAGAGCCGGGCGACCAGCGCATCTCTTGGGGGTCCCGTGAGGCCTGGGATGCCAGGAGAGCCCACAGCCAGGGTGGCTGGCCTTTGAGGATCTAAATATAGTTTTGACTGTTTTATGTATATTTCTGAAATGGCTCCTGGTGGTGACTGGGTAAAGTAGAGTAGTGGACACAGCAGTGGTCCCCTTGAGAGCTGGGACCCTGCACGTCCTCGCGGGGTGTCCAGTGGTCCAGAGGAACCCAAGGCTTGCTGACAGACCCACAGATGAGCTGTCCAGAAGCTGAACTACCAAGGAGTGATCTTCCAGGTGTGCCACGGGGCTGCTATTGATATTTAAGTAAACTGGCAAGGGGGTTCTCCCTGTTGGCACTCTGGACACTTGGGATGAGTGCCGGTTTGCTGTGGGCACTGCCCTGAGCAGTGTGGGGTGTCCGGCAGCATCCCCACCTCTACCCTCTAGATCCCCAGTGACTCCCTTCCCCTGTGCCCTCAGATCATGCACCATCACCTCTGGCTAAGAACCACTCCGCGCATCAAGCCCAGTGTAGCACCAGCCCCAGCGGCTGAGCACACTCGATTTCCTGGATTCAGACTGTCCTGGAAGCTAGTTTAGGCTCAGCTAGTACTTTGCTGAAAGGGGAGCTGGGAGAGCACAAACTGCAGCTGCAACAATGGGGTGAACTTGGAGCCGGGGCATCAGAGCTGAGCAGCTCTGCACCGCCCAGGCCTTGGAGGGTAGATCCTGGCGTGTCTGGCAGGGCGGTGGGGAAACCCAGCAGAGGAAATACTTGTGGGCGGGCGGTGTGAGGAGCACCCAGCCCCCCTGCACTCACCTCATCCGGGGGATGCCTGACTTTCTGCAGATACTTCTTCAGCACTTCCTCTGGGGTTTTACCTGCGGGGACAGGATGAGCAGGGTCACCAAGACAGAAGAGGTGAGGCAGCACTGGCGTGTTGGCATGCTGGGTGTGCCAGCGTGGGGACTGTTATCCAGGATGGGGCAGGACAGGGCAGGAGCTCATTCTGCCCATCTAGGGATTAAAAAGGAGTACGTTGGACAGAAGACGGAGAGAAGGTGTCAGGACATGGGGGGACAAGGGGATGGGCCCGCCTTTGCTCCCATGCTGCCCCCCGACATCCTCCTGTCTATTTTCAAAAAGCCCACATTTTGACAGTGATCACTGAGGTGGTTTCTCTTCCACAGAACCTAAGAGCCTGGGCCTGCCTGGAGGCTGCGATAAGCTAGCAGGAACCAAGCCCTCCGGAAACTGTCTGTAAAAAATGGGAGGCAGGCTCAGCGCCTCCATCAGACTCAGGCTAAGTGCTGCTCAGCCTGGAAGGTGGTGCCAGCGTGATATTATTTTTGGGACACCCAGGGAGGAATGACCACAGCTGTTGTTGGCACTGTCACTGCCAGCAGCACGGAATGGGGGATGCCTGGCAGGTGGCGATGATTCCAGAAATTCTTCAGCAGTGGGACCTGGAGGAGGCAGCCCAGGCTGAAGGCAGAGGAAGGTTAAGAGGGTCTTACGAGGACACCCAGGAGGAGAAAAAGGGTCGTGCCTCCTTGGGGGTGCTCAGCTTCCCAAGTTTCAGTTTCCTCACCTATGAAAGGAGATGAGTGATAGAGCCTCACGGGTTTGCCTTGACCATGAAGGCGCTAACGTAGCCCTTCAGCACTCTGCCAGCTAAGGGCCCGGCGTGCGCTATTAATAATAACAGGAAGAGTGAGAAAGTGTAAAATCTCGTTCTTTCCTGTCAGACCCTGAGTGAGGCAATGGAGTTCATTTCAGCTGAGAAATTTTGATGACCAGAAAATAGAGCAGGGGTTTGAGGAAGCAGCCCCCAAAACCGGGAAGCAGGCACTTCCTTCCCACTGTCCTGCTTCTCTTATGAGACTGAAGGTCCCATCGACCAAAAACCCATTACTTGCCAGGGCAATATACTTGTGAGCTGATTGACGCTTCACGAGTTTGCAAGGTGGGGGCTTAGGGATGATGTCCCAACAGTTAACAACCAATCCCAGTAGAGCACTTTGGGGGTGACCTGTAATCCTCTTGCTGTGATAAAGGGGAGAGGCAAGAGAGGGAGCAGCCTCAAGTTTGAACCCTGGCTTGTTAGTGCCAGGGGATGCCTGGGTCTGACTGCTTGTTTCTGGGACGGTGGGGAGGTAGGAAGGGGCTCCGAGGAGGGTCCGGGGGCTCAGAGGGCCATGGCAGCGTACAGGGGATGCATTCCAGGGCAAACCTGCTGGCAAACTGTGAGGTTTTATCCATTGGAAAGGTAAGAAAGCAGGATGTCGATGGTCACAGTGCTTGCAGGCAGCAAGCTGGAGTCTGCACCCCGTCTGTTTTGGCTCTAACCCCATTTGTTTATATGCTTGTGCACTACATTTTTGTATTTCTGAAGGTGACTCCATAGGAACCAGCCAACACCCTCTAGCAGAACCGTGAGGATGGCTGTGGGTGAAGCGCACCCCGCAGAAGCAGGGTGAAGGCACAGAGAGAAGCCAGCGTGTGACCCTGCACAGAGCCAGCCAGGGCCAGATCCCCAACACCCAGTCCCCCATAAGGTAAGGGGTTCATACCTTTCTTGGCTTGTTTCTTGGTGGTCTTGCGGCTGGTGTTGGAGACCCCTGGAATAGATTTAATTTCGCTCTTGCTGACCGGGGGTGGGTGCAGGACCAACTTCGGGGGCCTGGTGAGGCACACGGGCAGCCCCGCCGCACTCATGAGGATCCCAGTGATTCCTGCAGGGCAAGGCAGGAGGAAGGACTGGCAAGTCAGCTCCCCAACACCCCCGAAGCGCCTCCCTCCCCATTAGCCCACAGTTATTCCCAGCAGAGTCCTCACAGCTTGTGGAGTGTCCATGTAGGGCCCCTGGACATTGCCCAGAATCCTCTTTATGCCCGTATCTTCATCGGCATGCTCCATGCTCTGCTTCTGGTGATCAACGTTCCCCAAATCCTTCCTGCCCTACCCACCCAGCTCCTGCAGCTCCCCTGTGTTTTCATTGACCTGTGAGGTCTCGTAAGCTCACTAGTGGTCCTTGGAGACAAACACCAGCATGGGGTTTCCCTTACCCGCCAAGGCAGGGTTGACAGGGCTGGACCCATTGAGGTTCTTCACCGGCACAGTGGGGACCCTGTGGGAGCAAAGAGCAGATAAATTATGTTCTGATAGGTGGGATAAAGTGGGCCAGTGTTGGGGTTCCAAAGCCCACCCACCCAGGGGTTCCCCTTTCTTGCAGAAACTACTTCTCCTTAGTAAAGACCCAGCATAGCAGTTAGGGGTGACAGAGAAAACCCACATCATATGGTGTGACTCTCCCACTCACCCTCAGCACACAAATGGGTTCCTCAGTTCATTCAGTCAAAGTCCTAGCAAGGCCAATACAGCACTGCACAGTCTGCCCCAACCCCCTACCCCCCATCTCTCTCATTCCCTTCATATCATGCACCTCTCTATTCTGCTCGAGCTCTTCCTCCTACATGCCAGATGCATTCCTGCCTCAGAGTCTTTGCGTATGCTGTTCCCTCGCCTGGAATGCTCTTCCACCAGATAGTTGCTTAGCTCCCTCCTACAATGCTTTCAGTTGTGGCTCAAATCATATCTTCTCAGTGAGTTTGCAGAGACCATCGTATTGACTGCTGCCACCCATCCCAAGCCCCTTACCCTGCTCCATTTTTCCCCTTCTTTTTGACCCCATAGAATTTGACATGTTTTATATAAAGGTGGTGCTTAGTATTTTCCCTCCCAGAACTGAAACTCTGGAAAGGCAAATATCTGTTTCATTCAGAGCCTGGAATGGGCAATCAACCAGGATTGGTAGAAGGAATGAAACAATAAAGAGGCAAGTTCAAACCTAGGGGTACGGAGGAGTCACCTAAGGAGTTTTTAAAAAGATGGAGTTCCAAGCCTGAACCAGAAGCTCCACCTGATGCCCCAAGCATCTGCCTTTTACAAGCTTCTGCTGAGAGGTGGCAGCTGTGGCCAGTCTCCAGCGCAACATTTGGAAACCGTTGCTCTCACAGCTGTCACTTCTCCTTTTCCCTGAGAAATATAAATATCGGGCAAAGCTTCCTCCCCTGTCTGTCCTTCTCCCCAGCAACCTAAGCCAGGCTGGGAGAGAGAAGACACAGCTGCCCAGGAAAGACCAGGCCTCCCACGGAGCCAACCAGAAAAATATGGGCAGCCACGTGAGGCTGGGTCTTGCACCATTCCCTGCCCCCCAGGCTATGCAGCTGGGCTGGGCTGGGGAGTGGGCTGGACAGATCATGAACTGGGCCACAGGTGACACCAGGTGCCAGGCAGGCTGGGAACTGAGAGCGGGGAAGTTTGCTTATGATCTTGTTGATTACTTATCTGTGAATTCAACGAGTAACTCTTGAGCCCTACTTTGTGCTGGGAAAGGCTCTGGGTGATGCCAGGGGCCTAGTGTGGACAGGGCCACCCCTGAGGCCTAGACTATAATCACTAACAGATGCAGCGATCACCCAGTCCTAGGCACGGCTCTACTGCTAACCATAGACACACGCATGGAATCCTTCCAACCACATACACAGGAGGGACTGTTACAACTAACCCCATTTTAATAGCTGGGAAGTAAGGCACAGAGAGATTAAGAAAACTTGATGAAGACACCTTTAGGGATCTGAACCCAGAAAAACTGGCTCCAGAACCCAGTGGGTTAACCATAGCAGGACGCTGCGCTCTTGGGTCCACGCAATCCTGCATCACCCCACGCTGCAGACAGAACAAGAAGCTGGGCAGGGTGAGTGGTAAACCCCCACTCAGGGATGGGAGAGGAGCAAAGGGCCTCAAGTTGAGCCCTGGGGCTCTGGGCCCCACTGCTCTTTGGAGCAGGAGAGGCTGGGTTATGCTGAGTCCCTGGGGCCTCCCTCCCCAGGATGAGGTCACAGGCACCAGGCCTGTAAGAAGAATGTGGAAATAGCAGATGTGGGAGTATTTGTGTCTCAATAGCTACTTTTCCTCAGAAACTATCCCCAGGATAAATCAAACCTGGACCAGGAGAGGGGAAAGCTGAATACAAAACAAGAGAAAGTCAGCCAAGAAAAGAGGCACAGAGACAAATCCTGGAGATTTACGCAGGGGACAATTCGACACAGTGAAATACTAGCTAAAGCTAAGAGACAGAGGAGGTGGAGTGAGAAAGGTCAGCGACATAGGGGTGGTGGGGTAGAAATATTTTTTAAAAGACTGGGCCTCGGACCTGACTCTGGATGCTGCCCTGGCCCATGGGGTCAGAAACGGGGCCAGGACGGGGCTTCAGGAAACCAGGTTCAAGTCTCAATCCTGCCGGGAACTCCTCACAAACTCCATCAACTTTTTAAGCCCCAATTTCCTTATCTGTAGGGCCATGAGGGTTGGTGGGGGATTAGAAGATGCCAGGGAGGCTTCTGGACGATCTCCCAGTCCCATACCTAGGACCAGAGCTCTCCATTCTGGCTGATCCTCAGCCAGGGCTCTTCCTACTGGGAATGGCTGGGTGCAGGGGACGCCAGCGCTGACAGTCCCCTGCTCCCCACCAGGGGGCAGCATGCCACCCGGGCCGCATCTGCCTTACCCACCCCCTGGAACCAGCCACCTCATCTCTGAGGCCCCCACTCCTGCTGATAACTGTGATCTGGGTGACAAAAGCTACCTTTGTTCTCACAAACTGGACTGGCAGGTTTCCACACCCATTCTGGTTAACCAGGAAACAGCCCAGTGCCCCAGAGCACACCACCCCATCCCTCCCGGGCTGCCCTTTAAGGGCTACCCTTTGCGGGCTTTGAAGGACAGGGACCTTCCTCGTGTGCCCTAGACGCGCAGGCTGTGGGAGGCGCGTGTTGTGCCCCTGTTGCACCCAGGAGGGCTTGCCCCAGCCTGGGGGCGGCAGAGGGGCTTGGGGAGGGGGGTGCTATTTGACTAGCAATTCAGAAGAGTGTGGTGGAAGAGGTCCATGAGCCTGCCTTCTACCCCCACTGCTCCCAAATGCACTCCTTGAGGAGAGCAGCATTTGACCCACCACATCTGAGAACTGGACCCCCTAAATCTCTGTCCCAGGGGGGCCCAGGAAGGATTTAGGATCTGGGTCAACTGCTTTGCAGAGAGCCCAGCCCTGGGCAAATGTGGGTGATTGTTTACATTTTGTCTCCCAATGGTAAGAGGAAGTTGGGCTGGATAAGCCTTTTCCTGCTTTTTTATTCCAGTTTTCTTGCTCTTTGAGACTGGGCAGCACCTGGGCACCCCTCCCCCACCACTACCTGCTAAAACTGAGCCCCTGGAGAAGGCAGACCCCACAGCCTATTGGGGCCTGAGCCCTCCTTCTGGAACCCAGCAAGCCTGAGGCAGCTGCGACTCTCACAACCTCCTGCCAGCTGGGCCCAGCCAAAGCTGCCCTAGCACTTGTTGGACCATCAGGAGACCCCCGCCCCCATAATGCAGGGTTGCCCCAGTTGTGGAGGGGGCAAATTTTCATCTCTGTCCCTAAAATATAAAACTAAGAAAAAAGGAAGTGTTGCAAGGTGAGAGGACCAGTGGACACCGGGAAAATAGAGACCACGGTGAGGACCTGAGGAGTTTGTCTTGGAGTTCGGACCGACCCAGGGATCTCTGGGTAGAACAATGGGCTTGTCTCTGTAGCAACCGCAGGCCTCGCTGGAGCCAGAGATGCCTCAATCCTGGAGGAGAAGGCAGAGGGGCGACTCCAGGCCTCCAAGGCCCTGCCCCCCTCTCTTCTCTGAAAAAGCCCCCTGCTCATGTCTCTGAATAATTCACAGAACCCTTTGTTCCCCCCCAGACCCTTCTCTTCATCTCACCCTCCCCGAGCTTCCTTTTTTCCGTGGGAAAGTTATGGGAGAGGTCATGGGCAGAGGGGGCGGGGGACCAGGCCATTCGCAGACAGAAGGTCGATGGTGGTGTCAGACAAAGGGAATAAATACGCTAATTAAATGGGCAAGGAAGCCTGGAGAAGACGGTAGTGGGGGTAAGGGAGGTGGCCAGAGGTGAAAAGGAAAGGACTGGAGGATTGAGGGAGGCGGGGAGGGGTCCCTTGTCAGGAAAACAGCAGAGAAAAAAACAGCCTGTTTCTATAGCCCTTTGGAAACTGCCAGGCCCAGCCCTCCACCCAATTCTCTCCCCCAGCTATACGGGCAGCAGGGGGGTGAAGACTGAGATGAAGAGCTGCTACCCCCTCACAGAGATTTAAAGCGATTTGGGGTCCCCCTCGACTATGGCATGGGGGTCACTCAGCACTTGTCATGGGCCTCAGAAACGAGGCAGGGTGTTGGATTCTACTCATTTTGGACTTCAACTGCTACCCAGGGCCTACTCAATAGCTCCCTGGTAATCATGCTGATAATGGCAATAATAATAATAATAGATGCAGCTGATCATGACTGAATTCATAATATGTTCCAAGCATTGTGCTAAATTAACACTGAATCTTTCATTTAATTCTCATGACAAACCCTACAAGGAAGGCACTGTTACTGGCCCCATAGATGCAGACCTGCCTCCACGTTACACAGCAAGGGGCCTGGGTCCAAGCCCAGGCAGTCTGCACGCTGTGTTCTGGTCCATGCCACTAGCTTCTTCCGCTCTATCGGCTCCCCTGGACCTTGGTTAGAGACCCCAGTAGCTGCCATGACAGCATGGAGAAACTGAGCAAAGAACGGCATGCTCTAGGGGCCCTCTCCCAGATGCTCCAAGTCGAGAAGTTCTATGGAAATTCCTGTGTATCTGACCTCTTGCCAGTACTAAGTTTGCCTTTGCATGAATGAGGAGGTGGGCTTTAGTCCAAATAGCAGTGAATTAGGAGACTAAACCCTCCACTCTGTAGCTGTATGGTCCTCCTTGGGGGTTCATTCTGAGCTAAGTGAGCATGCCTCGCACCTGTAGCCCAGGTAAGGTGCTGGGAGAGCACAGGTGGATGGATGCATGGTGTAACTGCTCAAGGGTGAACCCTCTTAGAGGATTTTCAGTGACATTGGGGACAAGAAAGGCCAACACAGTAACCCTCACTTCACACCTGAGTGGCAGAGACGAGAGTGGAGGCTCTCCATGCCCTCCCCCCCACCCATTCTGCAGCCCACCTGCCTCTCCTCTAGGCAGCCTGAGTTTCAGGCTCAGACGTCCAGCCTAACTAAACTATTCTGACCAGCAGGGAATCCAGGCCACAGGGAGAGCCAGGTTCCCTCTGGAGGAAGGGAAGATGGGACAGGAGTTACAAGCTAATCTCAGCAGAAACCAGAGGCAGGAAGGCTGAGGTTGCTGGCACCACATGGACCTGCATCTCACACATTTTGTGATCAGAAAAAGTATTAGCATCAGAACCGCAACAGCACTAGGGCGTCACAGGAATGAGATGATGCTTGAAAAGCGCTGATACTCCCAGAGCAGAGGAAAGGAGCCCTCATCTGGCCCCTACTGTGTGTCAGAGGCTGTGGTCTGCTTGCCAGGGAGCAGCCAGGTCAGGAGCTGTCTGGGTGCTGGTGACAGACCCCCTCATGAAGCCCCAGTCTCAGCCCATGATCAGCCCCGGCCCTGGAGCAGGTCAACCTGTCGGTAACAATTTCTTCACGGGTCAAGTGGGGTCAACATTCCTCCTTCAGAGAGTAGTTTGGGGAGTAAATCAAGTGATAGAAGCCCCCTAAATAGAACACAGGGGCAGCTCAGTCAGTGCTGCCGGTGAGCACTTAGTACGGGGGGACCCTAGACCTTAGCCTCACGCCAGAGTCACAGATGAGGTTGGGACTGTCATATTAGGGGGTCTGCCCATGTCACACGACTAGTCAGAAGCACATTCTCCATTAGAATCCAAAGCTGCTGGAATACAAAGGCCAAGCCCACCCTCACCCACCACACCCTGGTGCCTTCCATGGCACCAGAGGGTCAGAACTGCGCACAAGGCCCCGCTCCCACACGCCGGCACGCGAAGCCCAGAGGCTGTCGAGGAAGCACCTACCCGGAGGCGATCAGCACCCGGGACTGGGCGATGGCCAGTCGCTGCAGGTTGCTTCGATTTAAGGTGGCCAGGGCCACCCTCCCCGTCTTGGCGTTGGCCCCCGCGGGGCTGGCCGGGGAGCAGGCGGTGGCCCCGGCGGGCGCGCTGGGGGCTGGTCTCCGGAGCACCTGCGCCGGGAGCGTCTTCCCCGGCCCTCGCAGGGTGCCGGTGCCGTCCAGGGGCCTGGCGCCCGGGCCTGGCGGCGCGGGCAGCTTGGCCGCTCCCGCAGGGGCCATGCTCTTGCGCGCCGCGGGCGGCGGCTGGGGGGTGACCACGGCCGCCTTCACGCTCATCACCAGGACGCACTGCGGGCAGGAGCAGGGCGGCGCGGGGGGCGAGGCGGCCGGGCCGGGGCTGGCCGGCCAGGACTGGGCCTTCGGCAGGGTGCCCGTGACCAGGGGGTAGATGAGGTCCAGGCGCCGGCGCACGCGGCGCTGGCGCTGGGTCTGCCGGTTGATCTGCCCCATCGTGCTGAAGTCGATGACGTAGCTGAAGCCGATGGACGTCAGGTCGATCCAGGGGCGCTGCTTCTCATAGGCGTGCTGGATGGTGATGCCCACCTCCATGTCGTAGGGCGTCCAGGAGCCGCTGTCGCTCTCCCACTCCCACACCACGCCCTTGCCGGGCGCCGAGGCCGGGTCGTAGTAGCTGCGGCGCACCGGGCGGAGGGTGCCTGCGGGGGGCAGAGCACAGGGCTGGGGTCAGCAGGCAGGCAAGTGTTGTGCTACATTAATAGGCAAATATTAAAGGAGTCCTACTGTGTGCCGATAGGACACGGCTTCCTGTCCTCTGGGACAGGGTGGGTAATCAGACGAGGTGCAAGCGGATGAGTTACCTGCTAGGTGAGAGAGGCAGGACCAGTGCCAGGGGCCAGAAGGGCCTGATTTGGAGTCAGGGGCCTTGGCTTGCAGCCAAGCTCCTTCACTTACTAGCTAATAGGGAACCCCTCAGCCTCCTTTTCTGCCTGGGAAACAGGGCAACAATTCCTTCTCAGGGTTTATGTGAGAATTAGTCACTTCTTCATTCAACAGATACCATTTGATAGTCAGACCCTGGATTTCTCACATGCCTTGATTTGCACGAAGCACAGAAAGGCTCTGGCACGGAGTAGGTGCTCAGAAATACGCCTCCTGATCCCGCTAACCTGCAGGGCCAGAAAGGAAAATGAAGCCTGTAGCTGTAGCCTCTGGCTCCCTATCCACCCCAAAACCTGAAAGCAGACCCATCCCCAAGCAGAGCTCATTTCATGGCATCAACCATGGGGCTGAAGGTTCCTGACTCAGAGCAGGGTGGGGAGAGGATGGCGGATGCTGGAATCTCATCTGACAGCTTAAGCCCCATCCATCAAAGTGGTGGGAAAAGGCTCTGCTAGTGGGCCTCCGACCCCCCCACACCCCCAACTCAGAGGGAGACACCAAGGCTGGGGACAGAATCCCATTCAAGGGGGAAGAAAAGGAACAATGGCTATTCAGGCCCTTGCCAGGGTCATAACCCACCCCCCACCCCATCTCCGAGCCCCTTAATGACCCAAAACATCAACATTCAGAGGCAGGAGGAGGAGAACAATCCCCTATTCAGGCCAGGATCTCTGCCGGGGGACAGGGAGGTAGCTGGACGGGGGGCCAGAGGAGGAAGAAGGGGGGCAACCGGTCTTTGGTTTGCCTCCGTTTCCTTCCTAGGCAGCCGGCTTGCTGGGGACAAAGAGGCCAGGCTTGGAGCTCGGCCCCTTCCAGCTGTGTGATGAAGCCTCAGTTTCCTCATCTGTTGGCGCTGCGGGTAGGGTAGCCACTTCAAAGGCTGGATGGGAGGATTAAATAAAGGAATGAATATAAAGCACTGGTACAACACTTGTCACATGGCAAGAGCTCAAAAAAGTGGCAATTGTTATTTGATTTGTTTTCTATTCTGTGTCTCAGCAAAATGGAGAAGTGGGGGATGGTTTGGGAGGGAGAGAGAGCAGGAAAGAGCAAAGGAATTGGGAGGGGACAGGGGCGAGCTTATATATAATATATACACACACGGCCTTCACTACTGAGCACGCACCTCAACCTGGCCATCCTATGAAAAGCTTTAGACAAGGACATGAAGTTTAGAAGCTTAAATGACACAGCTTATATACTCTCCAGGGTACCAGGCACAACGCACTTCACCAATTCTCACAACTGTGCTTAAAAGGTATTTTTATCAATCCCAGAAATGCCTGAAAATTGCCCCACAATTTCTGGAAACTCAGTCCTGGCTCTCACCTACTTTTCCAGGCTCATCTCCCTCTGTGCCTGTATTTTCCTCCACTCCTGAGAAACACGTGCCCCCTGCATCTTCGTGCATACCTGAGACACCCTGGGGTGCACACCCTCCTCTTCACCAGGCCCCTCCTTTTTACCTCCTGCCATTGCCTAAATCACTGGTCTTCATTTCTCCAAATGTTCTCCCAGTCACGCCCTACCCTCACAAAGTCTTGGGTGCAGCTCTGCTCATGCCTGATGTGTGGGAGCAGAGGCGCCCCTGTGCGGTCTTTGCATCCTACTTCCTAATTCAGTATGAGGCAGAACCAGGGGCTCTGTTGCGCACGCTGATTGGCTGAAGGCTACTTAGGTGTCTGATCATTCATCACATATTGCCAAGGCCCACCACCCTCTATAGGAAGGCAATGATCCAGGCACCCCTGAGGAGCTCCCAGCCTAAAACAGGAACAATGTGGGAACAACTGCTTATGAGGCAGGGGAAATCCCACCACATCGCTGTGGAGCTGAGATCACCCCATGACTTCCCTGAATTGGGACCAAGCCCCCTCTACCCGCCCAGCAACGCGGGTCCCTCACACTGAATGTATTCTGCCCACTTTGGTCCTCTCCCATTGCCACGATTCTCTGACTCAGGGTCTTTCCACAATGCTGGGCTCGCCCCAGAATACTCTGGCATCCTCTTTGTTGCACATCCTGCAGATTCCAGCTCATTTCCTCAAGGAAACCTCCCTGGGCTGCCCTGACCAGGTCAAATTCCCGATGCTATTTTTATATGTTTATACATATTTATTTGTGGGGTTAATTTGATGGATGGCCGTCTCCCTCACCGCACTCCCAGGCTCAGGAGAGCAAGGGTCCAGGTGTTTGCTCATGCGGAGCCCGCACCTGCCATGTCCCAGGGCTAAACAAGCAGCGACCGAATGAATGAGGTGGTGGTGCTGCTGGAGAGCGGGCGGGCATGGAGCACGGGGAGCATGGGACCTGGATGGCAAGAATTTCAATGAGCAGAAATGGCAAAAGAGGGCACTTCAGTAAAGGGACCTTGTGCATAGTTGGGGGTGAGTTTTGGATAACTCAAAGGCATGCATGTGAATGAAAGGAAGGACTGTTTGGGAGAAATAGAGAGAAACAGAAGGCAAAGAGGACGGTCAACCAGAGCAGGTGAGTTATAGCCAAGGCACAGCCAGTTTGGAATGCCAGGCGGTGGTGAGTTTAATCTGTTGGCAGTGAGGAGCTGGTGGGGACTGACACAGGCGAGTGACAGGACCAGAATTGCTCTGTAATTACTTCCAAGTGAGAAGTAACGAGGGTGTTGGCAGTGAAAATAAAAAGGAGGCGGCAGACTGGAGGACCCTGCAGAGAGGAAATAGGTAGGACTCAGCAATGAGACCCTGAGTGCTGTCCACGTGTGTCCCGGGACTCCCCTGGGGGATGGACGGTGCTCACTCTCCAGACCTAAGAGTCAGCATCTCGGGGAGCCGAGCCTGGGAATGCAGCTGTGACAAGTGTCCTGAGTGTCCATCACGTGCACTGAAGTTCCCACCGCTGGCCATGTGGCCCACGCACCTGCGCACACGGGGCACCCAGGGCAGCCTTGGGGTGACAGAATGAAGCAAAGTACCCTGAGGCTTTGTGCATGGGCCAAGGGTGAGGTGTGGGCACTGCTGACCAGCAGCGGGATGTGAAGAGGAGCTGGTATTGGGAGAACATTCTGAGAAGGGAAGACAGTGGGCTGGATAATATGAACTGAGTCCAGGTCAACCCTAGAGACAGTAGACAGACCTCAGGGCCAATGTTTATGGAGGCCAGAGGGGTGGGATTTCATTCTCTGGCTCTTTTCAGAAACCGCTCTATTTGGAATGGTCTGCGGGACCTTTCACTAACCAAGACCATGAACTGGAGGATCTGAGGAAATCTATCTGGCCCTCAAGTGCAAGGTGGCAAGGGAAAGGGCTCTGGTGGAATAGGGATAAACGATGTTTACAAACGAAGGTGGAAGAAGAAGAAAGAAAATAGTTTTTCCCGGCAACTCAAATACCTGCACCCCAAAGCACCCAAGATGTCTTAGCTGCTGGAACATGGGAGCCAAGACCTTCCAGGCCTGACCCAAGGTCTCCAGGGCTTGTCAGCCACATCTATGGTGCTGGCACCAGCTCTGTGCCAGATGCCCAGACCTCTCTTCCCAGCACTCCTTAACCCACTAGAATGTTCCATGTGGGCACAGAGCTGGAATTATCAGTGCTATGTCTGCATACCATCCACATGCCGGCACAGAATCAGTGCTCCAGAACTGTGCACCCTAAGAGTGGGGGGGGGCTTGATTTGGCATCTCAGCTGTGCCATTGAAAATGTTACAGTCTGGGCCTCCCCGGTGGCGCAGCGGTTGAGCGCTGGGTTGCGAAGCTGCCCGCGGCCTCTGCAGCGCCGGTTCGATCCCCGGCTGCTCCCCAGCCACCGGAGGAGGGTCCCACATGGCGCGCAGACCTCTCCTGCCGCCCGCTGCTCCCCTCAGCAGTGTCCTTCGGTCCTTCTGCCTGCTCTGCTCCCCGCTCTGGCTCTGGTGAATTCTCTCACCCTCCCGCGCTTCTGATGTACCCAGTGCATGTATAAACAAAACAAACAAACAAATAAATAAATAAAAGCATGCCTCTATTAAAAAAAAAAAAATTAAATTAAAAAAAAAAAAAGAAAATGTTACAGTCTGAGAGCAACTTAAGAGTTCAACTGTTTCCTTCCCTCTAAAGTGGGAACAATAGGTCTTTCCTAAGATTGCTGTGAGGATTAAACACAATCATGTGTGAACTGAACGTGCTGGCAGGATGAGGGTGCAAGGTGCACCCCCATCCTCTACCTACCACGTGGCCCGTGACACTTGCCTCCTCCACCCTTGTGCTGACGTGGGGTGGGCTTATGGCGGGGCACCTAGAAATCAGCTTTGATGCAAGTCAGGCTCCCTCTGACCCTTCTCATTACATCGAAGACATCAAAGTTTGCAAAATCTGCCCAGAGAACTCTGAGCTGGAGAAAAGCTCCTCCTCACCAGGCTGCTTCTAAGTAGCATCATCATTCCCCGGCAGGGTCAGACCCCTCCACCTGCCACCTGCATGGTGGGGGGAGGGAGCCCCAAGAAATCTTAGGGCTACTCTTCACAGACAACTGAGCCTGAGCAGCGAAGGGGTTGCTCAAGGTCATGCCGGGAGCTGTGAGTCTGGGACGGATGGAGTCTGAATCACATCTGGCTGGCTCCAGCCTGGGTCTTCCCCATCCCACAGCCGGGCCCGCAACACACCAGCCTCGGGTGTGCTGGAAGCTACAGCGACAGCCACTGTCCCGACAGAAAAAAGTAACACCCGGTCAGGACGATTGACCAGAACTTTGGGAAGCCCCTGACGCCTCTCTCCTCTGTCCCTGGCCTGCGGTCAGACTCCCAGCCCAGAATGCCTGAGAAGACCCTCGCAGAATGCTGATAAGCTGAGACTCTGGGGGTCTGGAGGGAAAGGACCCAGGGCAAGCAGAGAAGGGGGACGGAGGTGTCTGCAGCCACCCAGACATCTCCCTGGAGACGGGCTGGCCCAGGTCAGGCGCCCCAGCAGCCGGAAGGGCACACAACTTTAACCAACAAAGCCCCCAGGTCAGGAAATGTCCCTACAGGGAGGACTCAACAGCACAAGAGAGGAATCGCCTCTAGACAGGGGACTTCCAGTTCTCCTTTGTCTGTAGGGTGTTTCTGCTTCCCAGCTTCAAACTGAGGACTGGGGACGGTGGGGCACTGTGAAACTTTGCCAGTGCTTGGCCAACGTTGCCTGGGAGCCGATGGTTTGAAGTTCCCACCCTGGCGGGAGCACATCAATGAACTGGAGTGAGAGGAACTCTGTGTGTGTGTGAGTGTGTGTTGGCAGGGAAGGGAGGAGGGGGCTGAGAGCCCAGACCCGGAGATCGTGTTCTGCTCTGCCCGGCTCCCTGGCAGACCCAGCATTCCTGAGGATTCGGCCTGGTGGGCACCTAGGGGCCCGGCGCTGGCGTGCAGCCCACTGTTGACCCATGGACCATCTGAGCGAGAGGATGAAACCTAAGCAATCTGAATGGCCGCCTCAAAGACCGACAAGAATGTGAAACACACCCTGAGCGAGTGTTTAATATGATCCCAGGCCATTCTTGGCTTCCGGTCTAAAATCTGCGAAGCCTCAGCCTGGGACTGAACTGCCAGCAGCAGGCAGCAGCCTCTCCTCCGGGAAGGAGGGGGTGGGGGTCCCTCCAGTCTCTCAACCCAGCTGTCTCAGAACTTCACTTCTGTGGGAAGGGTCGTGCCAGGGTGCCAGGGGCCTGCCTAGCCCACACACCCCCAAGCACGGATGATGCTTTCACTCTTCCCAAAGGTGGGACGGAGGCTGGGGCCTGCAGAGATGGAGTCTGCAGTGGGAAAGCTGACACCTGCCTGTTTGCTTTGAACCGAAATTCCCTGTCAGGTGCCTACTTCACTGCTGCCCCCTCCCCGCCCCCCCCGCCCATCACCAAGGCTCCCCCCCACCCCCTGTCCACCTTCACCTCCAGGACCTCTACCCAAGTTGCACAATTACATTCTCTCCCTCCCCCTCATCACACTTAATCCTCTTTCTCAATCTCCCACATTCCTTCTTACTCCCTCCTCCTCCCAGCCACTCTTAGCTCAACCCCCACTTTCCCACCCAGGTTTAAGCCCCCCAAAAGGCTAACACTTCTGGAATCCTTCCCCCAGAAAGCTTCTCTCAAAAGGTCTTCAGAGTCCTTGGCAATAGGTGGTTGGGGGTTAGGACTAAAGAGGAGGTACGTGGTGCCAAGATCCCCTTCCCATGACCATGGCGATTACCACACAGGATGCCAACTTGGAGGAGGCAAAGATGTCCCGCCAGGACAGCTGTTCTCTGACCCGCTGGGACTCTCCCGCCTCCGTGGAGCACCCACCCCCCACACACACCTGTCTCTCTAGGTTCCTGGGTTACACTCTGGCAAGCACAGCCAGAATTCCTGAACAACCCCACCCCCATGAAGAGGCAGCCACAGAGGAGAGACTTCCCCCACCCCTACCCCCGCCCCCAGAGGGTCCAGGGAACCTGGACACAGGGGCAGATGCAGGGATGCTGCTCTGCCCTGCCCACCCGCACTCCAAGACCCCATCCGCCAGCCTCCCCCTGCAGCCTCTCTTCCTCCTGGGCCCTGGAAAGGCGGGTCAGCAGAGAAGTGGGGTGATAATGGCCACAGTGGCAAGTGGATTCTCATGAAAACACGCGAGCTTCGCGTAGGGGGTGCCCAGAGCGCCCCTCCCAGGCCCGGTTTCAGGAGGCGGCTTGGGGAGACTTTCTCCTCTGGAATCCTCCTTCTCCGACAAAGGGAGCAGCGGCTTCCCTGCCAGGCATCCCCTGCCCGGTCCCTCCCCGCCTGCATCTGCTCAGGCCTGTTGCTTCAGCGCTCGCGCTGCACAGCCGCGTCCCCGGCCGGCCCCGCCGCGCATCCGGGGCGCTTCAGCCCTGGAGGCCGCCCCCACCCCTCGCCGGCGCTTCCCCACGGAGGCCCGGCCCTTCCACACTAGACAGCTAGGCGGTTTCAGGGAGTCCCTGCGTCCAGGAGGACCGTCTCCATACCCAGGACCCCGCAGTGGCGACATCCCAGGGGGTCGCGGGCGGCCCTGGGGCGCCTGAGGCAGAGCCCGGCGCCTTTTCTGGGAGCTGGGGCTGCGTGTGGGCTGGGGCGGCCCCAGGATTTTTACAGCGGAGGACTTAGCGTCACCCCGCTCTTCAGAGGGTCTTCGGGTCGGGCCGAAGCTGGGGTGCAAGCCCAGGACGCGGACCTACGCGCGCGGACGTCCCCGCAGGCGCTCTCGGAGGGCCGGGGCGCTCGCTGCGCGGCCGCCTCTCGGTGACACCCCGCGCGGGGCGCGCACAGGGTGGGCCCGGTGGGCTCCAGACGCGGGAGGGCGGGAGGGCGGGGGCGGCCGGCTCACCCGTGTCCTGGCGGAACTGGTTCATGGACTGCAGGTCGATGATGTAGGGCGCCAGGCGGCTGTCCACCTGGCCCAGCACCACGCTGCCCCCGCGCGCGGCCCCGCGCGGACCACCGCCTCGATGTGGTGGCTCACGGCCGGGCTGTAGGGTCGCCAGCGGCCGTGCTCGTTCAGCCATTCCCAGACCACCACGGCCGAGGCCAGGAGCATGGCGCGCCCGGGGCTGCCGCGGCGGCTGCGCTGCGGTGCCGGCCTCCGGGGCCCGGCGCTCCCGCCCTCCTCCGCTTCCTCCTGCGCCGCCGCCTCCGGGCCTCGACCGCGCCCCCCGCCCCGCGCCCCGCCGCCCCGGGCAGCCTCAGCTCCGGCCCATGGGCCCCGCCCCGGCCGCGCATCCACCGGGGCCCGGACACCGGGGCCGCCTGGCTCCGAGCGCGCGCCGCCGCCGCCGGGCTCCGCCGCTGCAGCCGCTGCTCCGGGGGGTCGGGGCGCTTCATGCAAATGCTCCGCTCCCGGCAAACGCGCCCCCGCCTTGCAAAGCCGCCCGGCGGGCGCGCGGCCGGAGCCCCGGCGGCCGCGAGCTGGGACGCACGGCCGGGCGAGCACCCAGCCCTGGCACCAGTTGCGCCTCGAGCCCTGCAGACTCCGGGGTGGGATCCGGCCGCGCGATCGCGCTCCGACGGGCACGCCGCGCACCCCGCCCCGCGCTGCTCCCCCGCCCGGGCGACAGCTCCCCCTCCCTGCGGCTCGGCTCAGCCGCTTCCAGAAGGCATCGCCCCTCCCCAGCGGGGCGCACTAGCAAACCCGCGCCCGCGGGGGGTTCCCCAGAACCTAGAGGCGGAAAAACGACCCGCCTTGACGCAGCTGTCGCCCTCCGCCTCTGGGCGACCCCCCCCCCCCCACACCAGGGATGGATTATTTCTTTTAATGCAGCGTGATTAGTGGCCGGTACGCGAGCTCAGACACGTAGTGTCTTCGGCTCGTGCACACACGCGTACACTCACTCGCGCACACACGCGCCCGCAGCTCCACGCCCTCCCTGCTCCGGCTCCTATTACCTCATCCTCGTCCGCATCCCCGGCTGCCAGTCAAGGATGCAGAGACACGCCCCCGGCCCCTCGCGGGGTGCCCTGGACCTCACGCGCCCCCTGCTGGCCCCAAGTGGCCAGTGCTGACCGGTGGCTGCACACTAATTACAGCTCAACTCCAAGCGCAGCTCTGGGGACCCTCTCCAAAGGGAGGCAGCACTTCGGTGAGTGATGGATTTATGTATCTATGTAGAAAGCAAAGTGACTGGTTGGTTGGTTTGTGGCTCTGCTAAACCTCGTCAAAGTCAGAAGACACACGGTGATGTATTTATTCTGTAGGATTTCTGTGACCAATAAATGAGAGACTTGACAGGCACAAGTTAAACTTGGCCATTTTCGTTGCCAGTAATGTGGAAAATGATCTATAATGGGTGGATTCTGACTAAAAGCACAGGTTGATGTCAGATTATATGTTAATCTAGCCAGCAAACACAAACATTGTTCTGCTGAGATTGTAACCACATAAACAGTGAATCACAAAATCAAGATCCAAAATAGGACATGGAAAAATGAAAATAGATTTTGTTAGGGATTGGAATTATAAATCTCATAATCTTTCATAATCTCATGATTATTGTTTTAGAAGATTTGCTTTCCTTCTCTCTTGCTTTTCTTGAATTACAGTTGTCTTTTCTCCCATCATTGGTATTTTCCGTAACTTTTCTGCCTTAATCTATTTCCTCCCAGAGTCCTAACTATAAAGCAAAAGGAAAAACAGCACACACATTCTTCTTCAGGTGTCTTAGCACCATAAACAATGCTGGCTCCATAACATGTAAAATGACGAGGAACGGATATAATAAGAGGCAAAGTACATGGCAAAGTAAAAGTGTTTCGATGTGAAAGAAGGGAAGAGAGAAAATGAGGACAGAGTTGTATAAGAACAAAAGCAGAATTGAACAAAAGGCAATATAAACTTTTATTGAGTTATTTTACTTCCCATCATGATATTTATTTTACTTCCCATCATAATTTTACTCCAATCATGAGACCTAGAGCATGAAGACTACTAAACTTTCGTGCGATCTGGGTAAATATGGACCCAGAAACTATTAGTCATGTTGTAAGGGGTTGCTACAAGTATCAGGGAGAAATAGCACCTGGCCAAATAAGAGGGCTGGTGACAAATGTTAGATTGGCTGTTGTTTTGTTTTGTTTTTTTGAGAGATGAATGGGAAGGGGGAAGAGACTGGTTCCTATAAATGTCCACTTTGATTTTCTATCAAGTCTTCGTGTATCTGCCAAGTTAAACTAGTAGAGTATTACAGTAGAAAACAGGCCAAATGATATGAGGTTTGTATGGAACCTATTTCATTTGCAAAAGAAAGTAAATATATAGGTAACTTGACAGTAGTAATCAATTACAGTTGTAAAATATATGTATTTTGGATAAGAGGATTTATAATTTATAAAAACACACTGTCGAAAATTTCTTACTATGTCAATATAATGATGTTGATAGTAACTTATAAATATACCTTTCTTAGACCTTCTGAGACAATATTAATATTAAATACTCTGTAACATAAATGCCTGAAAGCTTCAGACATTTCATTTTAGTATCCAAACTGTATCTCCCAAATTGCTTCCTGTTCCCTCCCATAAGTGGCACAGTAGTCTTTAAATGATGTGCCCAATTTGTAATTTGGAATATGGGAGTTATAGTAAAACGTCACTGATTAAGGCTGACTGGAATGAATTCACTCTGAATTGTTCAAGGTGTAATTTGATATTATTCCAAAAATGCCATCCTCAATCCTCTTCTTCGCTCACCATTTCTACATCCTTTGGTAAGTATTCAGAAAGATCTACCTTTATTTCATCAAACCATTGTCGTCCATCTTCACAATGATAAATATCACAGAGGATGGATATCATAGATGAGCCAAACTCAATGATACTATTCATCCCTCTTTCATCTATAAAAGCAAAGCCAGCATTATGAATGGCTACCAACGCACCACTTGAATTAAATACTGGGGAGCCAGAAGAACCAAAGTAAAAGAAGGTGTCATAGGTAATCACGTTGGGGTTGTTAACTATTCCCTGGAAACTCTTTCTAGTGTACATGTGGACAAATGGGCCGCCGTTTTTGACACGTTGTTCACATTTTTCTTCTCGCTGACTCAGGGGGATCACAAAACAGTGATCAATTTCTTTCGCATTTCCATCTGGGTGGCCGATGATATATACCAACCCATTAGGTGGTGTAGAATTAAATTTATCACATAATCCTGGAGAAATGACTTGTGCATTCTCCTTCAGTTTCAGAACTGCATAATCAAGAGTTGCATCAGATTTCAAAAATGATGGATCAATGGAAAACCAGTCATTTTTTTGAATTGTGGTCTCGTAATAATTGAAAGTCACCTTTGCACTTCGACTAATTATGCTGTTCCAGTCACGGACCTCTATTCCTTCTCCCACAAGCATACGCAATACATGCTGGGAAGTGAAAATGTACGGCCATTTGAAAACAAAACAGGAGGCATGACCTCTTCTCCCGTTGTTGTCCCATTCCATGAACCCAACTGAGTCAAGGAGAGGATGAACAAGCTTTATGACTGCGCCCGTAGTAAAGCTCTTTCTCTCTTTCCCAAAATTTGTTTTACAAACTTCGTAAAAAGCCTTTGAGTTTTCCTCATCTTTCCTTAAATAAGCTATCATTTTCTGACTTTCCGTTCTCAAAATGGGGTACTGCTCCACAAGTGCTTCATTCAATAGAGTGGTGTTCCTGTTCTGTGGCTCAGCGTTCTCAGTCGTGTTAGCCCTCGTGAGCCTTTTCTCAAACTCCACCTCAAAGACCCTTTCCTCTATGTCATCCACCAGCTGTGTGCTTTCTAAAATGGTGTCGGCATTTTCAATGAGTTTCCAGCCATGATCCTTCAGAAAAGGAAGCAATCTGCCATCCTTGCACAAGGCCTGCCTGATGGTTTCTCCTTTGAAAGAGTAGATGCAGAGTTTGCCACCCTTTCTGTGAAGTCCGGGGAATTTCACGATCTTTTTTCTCTCCTTCCCGATGGCATGAATATAAAACTTGACACACTCGCCTGACCCGTGGTCAAATCGGCCAAATATCTGATTCTCTTTCTTATGCTTACTTTTACTTTTGACAAATGTAATTTCCACATGGCAGTTTTCAGGCAAACAACTCAGGGGCATCCCTGGGTTGATGGCCGCATCAATGCCTTTTATGCCTTGTATCAGAATCTCTTTGCCTTTATGGGAATCAATCTTTTTTTTTAAATCCTCACTCTCATTGATGAGCACCTCATACAAGCTAGCTCTGAAACTGCCTCTGACCTCACGTGCCCTGCCGTCTCCACAGTTCGCCAAAGACACCTTCAGTGTCCTAGTGGTGGGACCTTCAGCCTGGAGGTTAGTTTTGTCTTCTGGACATTTTTCAGAGGATGTTTGTGGAAGACTGGGATCATTCTGCTGGGTTTTGCCAACCTACAAAGAAATGTTAAATCATTAAAAACTCTGAATGCAACCCTCGTCTTTGTACAAACTATCTCTCCAACTGCCTCTGACCTCATATGCCCTGTGGTCTCCAAAGCTCGCCAAAGTCACCTTCACTGTCCTAGTGGTGGGACCTTCAGCCTGGAGGTTAGTTTTGTCTTCTGGACATTTTTCAGAGGATGTTTGTGGAAGACTGGGATCATTCTGCTGGGTTTTGCCAACCTACAAAGAAATGTTAAATCATTAAAAACTCTGAATGCAACCCTCGTCTTTTATTTTTCCTTTCAGTATGCAATTTACAAAATTTCTCTAGGAAATTCAGAACTAATCTCAAAAGGCCAATGAGCAGAATTAAATCGGGATTTAAATTAGGATCCAGAATAACAGCTGAGTTTCTTGTCCTATCGATCAAATAAATTCTTAATACTGTTATACTGGTATATTTTTCTGAGAATATAAGGAAAAAAACACCTTTTGTTCTAAGTGCATCAAAACCAGAGGTGCTTAAAAACCTGCCAGCTGTCCCATAGTGTTATTCCAGGTCTTGTTTATTATTTTCAGCAATGTAATTTTTCCTTTTTCCAAGTATGCTGACAGATCACAGCAAAAACGTATTCTTAAGCACCAAAATCACAAAGGATCAGTTACCATGGTTTCTTACATTAGAACCATCATAAGTTAACTAATCATTGGGTTGTAAAAATATAGCTCTTTTTAATAATAAAAACCCTGACTGAACCAACAATGATCAGGCAAAGAACCCAAATTTTCTCATAGAATTAAACTCAAAATCCTATTAAGTGATAATAATGAATATTGCCTTTATCAATTTGTTAGAGCAACTGAGGGGTAGACAGTGTTGCTTATCAGTGCCTTTCCTAGGGTCACAAAATAACCAAGAATTAAGTAAATATCAGAACTCAAATACGTATTAGTCTAATACTTCTATTAGACTGTATCATCTTTTTTTTTGGGTAAACTTGATATCCATAACTCCATTTTTATAGGGCATTATCTTAAAAATCAAGGATGGGATAGGAATTAAATAAGGAGAATTGACCAAATAATAGACATTCAATAAAAAATGAAGGACATCTGGTTCCTCTGTCTAAAGATTCAGAGTCCCCACGCCGTAACTCAATCCGGCTGATGCCAGCAGAAATGGGCTCACATGCCAGGGACGACCCTCGCTGGTGATGCAAACAGCCAGGGCTGCTGTGAAGATTCAACATAACATCATGTGTCACAGTACCTTGTAGACATAGTCATCCATTTTCTTATTTCCCTTGGCATCGGATGAGTTGATCCGGCGCTTCTTCAAACTCATGGTAACTTGAAAATGAAAAGACAGTTCAGCTGAAACAATGATTTCAGAAGTATGTTCATAGGTTTGGTTAACTGCAAGAGGAGATGACTCCCCACATCTCACTTTCTCCCCTTCGCTCTAACTTCACTGTCCTCAGAGATGACTTCGAAGTAGACAGTTTATTCACCAACATAGAGTCACCTCAACACGAAGACGCCTTTTTATACAGCACTGCATGTCAGACACTTTACCACTTTATAAAACTCATCTCCAATCATGGGCCTCCCTGGTGGTACAGGGGCTAAAGTCTCAGTGCTATCAAGCTATCTCCAGCCACTGCAGCCTGAGTTCCATCCCCGGCTCAGGAGGTGACCCACATGGTTCAGCGGACCTCTCCTGTCTCACCTGCTGCTCCCCTCAACAGTGTATTTCAGTAGATCTGCCTGTTTTGCAACCTACTCTGTCTCTGGTGAATCCTCTCACCACTGCACCTCTGGCCTGGACCCCAGTTTCTGTATGCATAAATAAATAAAAAATAAATCTTAAAAAAAAATCTCCAGTTGCCCAAGGCACTATATAAAGCAGGCATCTCTGCATTCTGCAAATGGGCATCTGTGTTGGTGCCCTGCCAAGGCCACTGCTCATGCCAAGGTGGGATCCAAATGAAGCTACAAATACCCCTCAACAGGGGATGAGTCAAAGAATTCAAGCCTGTGCTCTGACCCAGACATCACAACCGGGCCCATGTAAGATGGAGACAGTGCTGGGAGGGAGGCTTACAGGGAAGCGGATGGGAAAGCCCCATGGAGGCACAATGAACTCAGAATGCGAGTTTACCTGGTGAAAGAGTCAGGAACGTTAGTTACTGCGTTGGTTTTTGGTCTGCAGAGGTATCGCTCCCTCTTTCCTCAGATGAGTCTCTAGGAGAGAACAACAACGTAAATAAAAAGTGAAATCTTCAATGGTGACAAGTGACACTGGAGCTGTGCCTGGCAGCCTTGTGCTTCACACCCAGCCTCTGCCATGGACAAGGTGTGATGCCCTATGTCCCTTCCATCAACTCCCTCATGTAATGCTTCCAAGCCTGTGAGGTGAGGATTATTTTTCCCAAACTGTAGGAACAGATCAAAAAAAAAAATGGGTAAGATTTTCATATATAAAAAAAAGCTGAAAAGCAGAGAGATTGAACTATTGATCACAATGACCCAGAGAGTATTATTTTGATTATAAATATTTGAAATCCAAAAAAGTTGAAATAGAAAAAAAGATCCCAGTGAACCATGCTATATCAAGAGGTGCAATGTCCTCAGCTAACCCGCTACAAACCCTGTTTCATAGCTGGGAAAGGTTCTGATGACCTTTTCCTTTGTTTTACAGCAAAGAGAGAGCAGTGATTGCTTGATGCAGCTTGCTCCTGGGCCAATTCCCAGCAGCCTGGAAAGGCTAGGTCTGTGCTTTTATAATCCCTCTTTTCTGCCCATCCTCCCTCTTCCTCTCCCTCCCCTTCACCATTTCCCTCGCTTACTCTGTCCCCTCCTCTGCACACTTCCACGTGCTTGTTTTCTGCCTCCTTTTCTCCCCAATCAGATCCCAAGGCTTCACCAGAGCCCAGGCCCGCAGATGCCAACAGATCGCCCAGTGCTCGCCAGTGGACTGCACAAGGAGGAAGCACTGAAATAAAACCTGGTTTTCTCAATATCAAGCCCCCCAGGAGGGCAGCACTGCCAGGCCAGGGCCTCCAGCCCCACAAGGTTCTGCCCCTCCCATCCTGCAGTTCCAGTTCCGAAGCTGCCAATACCCAGCACAGGCATCACGTTTATGTGCCCAAGAGAGGTAGGTTCTTGGTGATGGGGGGAGGGCGAAGGCCCCTGGGCTCTGAAGACACAGCTGTTGAGCACACACACAGCTCAAACTGTGTCCCCAGGACAGGAAGAGGGGGGTCTAGCTCTGATCTGAAAGGGCTTCTGGTCTCGGGTAACTGCTGCTTTGGGGACCCTAGGTCACTTTTGCTTTCATATTCACCCTCTTCCACCCACCACTCCTCACCATCTCTCCTGGTTCTTTGCACAGCTGGGCAGGACAGAAACCGGGCTGTCTGCAGCCTCTGCAGACCTCTCCTGTCTCCCCGCTGCTCCCCTCAGCAGTGTGTTTCAGTCAGAATGCCTGTTCTGCTTCCCGCTCTGTCTCTGGTGAATCCTCTCACCCCCCACACCTCCAGCCTGTACCCCAGTTCTTGTATGCATGAATAAATAAATCTTTTTTTAAAGAGAGAGAAACAGGAAGGGCGGGGGAGGGATGCTGTGGATGAGTTTGCTGTAGTGGTTTGGTTTCAGAAACGAAACCTCTGAACTTCCTAGTCCTTAGCCCCGGCTTGAGAAACAGATTTATTGGTGGTTAAACTCTTCTGTTGCCTGTGAACTTTGCTTTTACACAAATACAAGCGGCAAGGATAGAGGTACCTTGTAGTACTGCTAAGAAGGCAGGTCCCCCACCCCAGGATAAGAGTTCTTACAATTCTGATATGTATGTATGGTGTGTGTGTGTGAATGTGTGTGTGTGTGTGTGTGTGTCAGAAAGATTCCTGAAAACGTTTCTTTACACCCAATGGGACAAAATAAACTCAGCACCTGGGGAACCCAACCAAAAGAATCTGGAGGTCTAATTTCCTCACCCGACTTCGGAAAGCTGGGGGAGAGTTGGTAGGAGGGTAGAGAGAGTTGAGAGGAGGGTAGAGAGTTGGTAGACTCATTGCCACAAAGCAGGGAGCAGCCCCCCCCCAGCCCGGGGAAAGAACCCCGCCCAGCCCCCCACAGCCCCCCACTCCCCCCCACACCCCCTCACTCCCCTGCCCCCGCGCAAAACAAGCCCTGCCCCGAATCTTTCGCTCAGTGCCTCTGGTTCACTCCTCTGGGGGAATCTTCGATGCCCTATCACGTCCTATGAATTATCCCTCTCAGCTTGTTAAAAAGACCTGATCCCGCCAGAAGCATCGGGATTTGCAGGGGGGGATTTCAGGAACAACAGTGGAATTTGCGCTTTTGACGTTGCCGCCCCCCCCCCGCCCCCCAAGATGCGCACATTTGGCTGGAGCCCTGTGAGTCCCAAAGTGACTTTACAGGAGTAAACTCTTAACCTGGGGTGAAGGGAGCGGGAAGGGGGTGCCCACCACCCACCACGAGAAGCTGCCCGACGGCTGCCCTCCCTACTCCCCACACCCCCCAAAAAAAACCCTCCCGGGCTCTGGGCTGAGGGTCTCCTGCCTGGTGCCTTTGCCCACCACCTCCAAGCACCCCACCCCGCCCCAGGAGAGGCCGCACTCACCGAAGCCGAGACTCCGTCGCAGGAGCGCGGGTGACCGACGTGCGCCTCCTCGAGAGCAGCGGCACGAAATGGCGCCCAGGGGGTCTGTCATCCCGCCTTTACGCTGCTGCCAGAAGTTGGCGCCGGCCGCCCTGGAGACTGACAGCCCGCGTGGCCACTGGGCAGCGAGGCCGCGGCTGCGAGCCCGTCCCGGGCGGGCGGTGACTCACGACGGTCCATTGGCTGCGAGGCGGGCGCGGGAAGCCAGAGCCCGCAACTGCGAGCAGCGGCGCCCGGAGGCCAAAGCGCGGAAAGCCAAAGGCTGCGACTGCCCGGCGCGAGGACCGGGCAAGCAGGGGCGCGGGGAGGCAGGGTCGGGGGGAGGCAGTCTGGGGGTGTGTGTACTAGAGCGCCGGGCGGAAAGAGCGCGCGGAGGCGGGGCGCGCGGAGGCCGGGCGCGGGGAGGCCGGGACGCCTGGAGGCCGGGGCGCTGGGAGGCAGCGCGGGGAGGCCCCGGCGCGGGGAGGCTGGGCGCGGAGAGGAGGAAGCCAGGCAGGGGCTTGTGCGCCAAGGCTGACAGCCACGGAGCTGGCAGACAGGAGCTGGCAAAGCAGGAGCGGGGTGGAGAAAACCGCGCTTGGGGCCCCTCACACCTCCAGGTGCCAAGAAGGGGCCAGGAGACAAAGCAGGGCAGTGGCGGGATTGGGGGCAGTGGAGGAGTACCCCAAAGAAGGAAAACGCCCCCAGGCGCTTTCGAGGGGGGTGGACAGTCCCCAGAAGCCCTATAAAAGTGAACCCAGCGCCCTAAGCCTGGGCTCCTCCCTTGGACCCCTCCTGCAGTGGGGCGGCTCTCACAATAAACCTGGGCTTCCTAATCTTCTGCGATTATTCCTCAATGGCTGGGACTCAAGAACCCACCCGCTGGACATGCGCTCAGCAGCAGGAGGCAGGGCCTGGAAGGTGGGGTGGTGGGGCTGGGGGGGCGCATGCGGCAGAGCCGGCGGACACGCGGGGGTGCAGGGCATCAGGAAGGAGGGGGCGGGGTGCGGGCTTGGTGTGCAGCCAACGCTGGCCCCTTCCACGCCCCCCCCACCACCTGCTGCAGGCTGAGTGCCCCACCAGATGAGGCAAAGCTCCAGGCCCGCTCCTGCAGGCTCCCAAGCCCCCAGAAGACCTGTGGGCGCCCACGTGCTGCGCTTGCAGGGAGCGAAATGACCCAAAACAGCCGGCAGCCCGCTCCTGGGGGGCCAGGGGGACTGGTCAAATGGGACTGGAGTCCCCAGCAAATGAGCCAACTTCGCTAAAGGACCCGTGCGCTGGGGAGCTGTCCACCAGCAGGAGAGCCCAGGGGCGCACTGCTATGCGCAGAAATTTGCCATCCTGCGGGAAGACTCCAGAGTTAGGCGCCTCCAAACTGAGGATCCAGAAAGTGCTTTGCAAGGAAGGTGTGAAGAAATCTTGTTTCAGAACGACTAAGAGAGACTCAGTGTTGGATGATGTTTCTGAAAAGCTGGCCAGACAAGGGAAGAATATATTTATAGGTGATGAAAACTCTTTTGTATGAAACCCATGGAACAGTTGTTGATGTCAAGTTGACGGTGTTGGTGGGAATAATAGGTGAAAGCTTTTCCTAACTTGACTGAATGTATAAAATATACACGAAGCAACAACCACTGCTTAAATTCTAGGTGCTCTGTGGGGTTTGGAGAGAGTCAACAAACGTATAGTTGTAAAAATAATGGCCAAGAAGTTCGAAGTAAAGAGAAAAGCTGTCACGGTTTTTATCAAATCACTGTTATTCCTTAAAACCTCCTAAAATGTCGCAAGGGATGGGTACCAAGATACAGACAGATGAAGAACAATTAGATCTGCTTGTGTGGGTGTCCGGAAGTCAGAGAAGCAGTGAGGACCCCTGGTCTTTTGATTGAGCCACTAGAAGGACAGCGTGTCCGTGGCTGATGGCTGGGTCAGGACATTTACAGCTGTCCATTAGAGCCCTGGCCTTGCTTTTCCTTTCAGGAAAAGCTTTGGCACAAACCCATTGCCACCTGGTAGCAGTGCTCAAGGGGCCCTTTGAGCTACTTAGAAAACTTAACTTCCAGTGGATGCTTCTATGACACTGTTGAAATTGTCTGTCAGCGCTGGGGACAGAGGGTTTGCCCTGAAGAGGCCATGCACTCTGCACACTTCCTTGAAACAAAACATTGTGTTGGCTGTACCGAGTAAGTCTGCATTTTATCATCAAATCAAGATCTTTTGCTTGGAGTGGCAGTGGCTGTGTTATTCCGCTAATGTCAAACACTTGAGAAGCAAAGACACTCACCTGGCTGGAGGAGGAGAGAATGGGTCAGACACCGCAGTCAGGCCTGGCGGAGTCAGGGGACAGGCCAGTGCTGTTGGACAGTGAGTCCTTCATGGACCCCTGGAAGATGTCCCCCTCCCCTTCCCCCCACATCCAACAGAGGGGACTGGTCTCTATATTTAAAGTTGCAGATGTCATTTACAATAGACCTCTCCTGTCGCGCCCGCTGTTCCCCTCAACAGTGTATTTCAGTAGATCTGCCTGTTCTGCTCCCCACTCTGTCTCTGGTGAATCCTCTCACCCCTGCACCTCTGGCCTGGACCCCAGTTCCTGTATGCATAAATAAATAAAAAATAAATCTTTAAAAAAATCTCCAATTGCCCAGCAAAGTAGGCCTCTCTGCAGATGGGATAATAGAGCTTGCGTCAGTGCCCCGCCAAGGCCACTGCTCATGCCAAGATGGGATCCAAATGCAGCTACAAATACCCCTCAGCAGGGGATGAGTCAGAGAATTCAAGCATGTGCTCTGACCCAGACATCACAACCGGGCCCATGTAAGATGGAGACGGCGCTGGGAGGGACGCTTACAGGGAAGCGGATGGGAAAGCCCCATGGAGGCACGATGAGCTCAGAATGCGAGTTTACCTGGTGAAAGAGTCAGGAACGTTAGTTACTGCGTTGGTTTTTGGTCTGCAGAGGTATCGCTCCCTCTTTCCTCAGATGAGTCTCTAGGAGAGAACAAACGATGTAAATAAAAAGTGAAATCTTCAATGGTGACAAGTGACACTGGAGCTGTGCCTGGCAGCCTTGTGCTTCACACCCAGCCTCTGCCACGGACAAGGTGCGATGCCTTATGTCCCTTCCATCAACTCCCTCATTTAATGCTTCCAAGTCTGTGAGGTGAGGATTATTTTTCCCAAACTGTAGGAATAGATCAAAACAAAATGGGTAAGATTTTCATATATAAAAAAAGCTGAACAAGCAGAGAGATTGAACTATTGCTCACAAAGACCCAGAGTATTATTTTGATTATAAATATTTGAAATCCAAAAAAAAAAATATTGAAATAGAAAAAAAGACCCCAGCTAACCATGCTATATCAAGAGGTGCAATGTCCTCAGCTAACCCACTACAAGCCCTGGTCCTTAGGGCCAACTTGAGAAACTGATTTATGAGATATTTGAAAGGTTGGAAATAAAACAGTCACTTTACCTTCTTCTGGAACGGTATTCAACACACTAATTATCAAAGAAATATACATTAAACCACAATGTGACACAGAGTAGATTGGCTATTATTTTTTAAAAAGTAACAAGTTTTGGTAAGGATGTGGAGAAAAGTCTATCTTGGCACACTGTTGGTAGGAATATAAGTGAGCACAGTCATTATAGAAACTAATATGGAAGATTCCCCACCCCCAAATTGAAATTATTATCTCACAATTACTCTGGGTAAACAAAAATAAGAATTATATCTAGGTCCTCAGACATTTATGCCAGTCAGTGTAGTGAAATAATAGATTAACTGGAAAAAAAAGTATATAAAATTTTTTATATAAAACGAAAAACTATAAGAAGTGGGCATAAGCAGGAATAGCCATTTCAACATTGAGGGTAAGTAAACCATGAAAGATGGTTAAACAACATCTGTCAGGAGAAAAATAACCATACTTTAAAACAAGCTTTTGATCCCATACACCAGTCAAAATGAGTAATGTATCAAAGTTTGCATATTTTATTCACTCTGCTTCTTGTTTCTTTCTATATGCCTAATTCCTGTTTTGTCCCTGACTATTTAGCAAATATTTTGCACAAGTCTTGATTGTTCATTCCCTTCGCAATGTCTTTTTGCAGAAAAGATCATTTTAGTTGTGATGATGTGGACCTTAACACTTTTTCTACAGTGGCTCATATACTTTGACATTTACATAAAATGCTTTGCCTAACCCATGGCCACAGAGCTGTGCTGCTTTCACGAGAAATGTGACAGTACTAGGTTTTATATTAAGGTTGAAGATTCATGCTGAAAAAAAAAAAGTTTTATATATGGGGCAAACAATGAGTCAAAAATTTTTGTGCATGGTATAAACCAAATTTCATTTAAAAAAATTATCCTTCCCCCATGGATTTTCCTTAGCATATTATCAAAAAATCAGTTGAGCATATATGCATGACTCTCTTCCAGAACACTATATTTGCTCCACTAATCTTTGCACTAATACTTTATTTTCTATTTTAATGTTATACTGACACCTAAAATCAGATTATGTGAATATAGTACCTTTATTATTCTTTTCATTTTTTTTTTTGCTTTTTCACGTAATTTGTAGAATCAGCACATTTCTGTGATTACATATACTTTCCACTTCATAAAAATACATGCTTTAATTGGGGTTGCTTGAATCTATAAAACAATTTAGGATTGCATTTAAAAGATTGATTTTTCACAGTTGAACTTCAGGGAGTATGCTTTATTTTCTCTTCTTATTTGCATTCAGGTTCCAACATTTCTGATTTATTAAATTTTAATCTGTGGGTATAGAGTCTAAGCTTCCATGTATTTTCTATAATTCTTCTAAGAAAGTCTCAGGTACTTAGCTAGCATTGGTCCATAGATTATTCTATGGTATCCCCAAGAGAAGATTGTCCCTTCTAACTCAAAATGTTTGACTATTAAAATATCAATAAGCTTAAATAATTTTCCAACATAATTCAGAAAAATAGTATTTTAAAATTTGAAAAAGTATAATTTTTTAATTAAAGAATTAAAAACTTCTATCCTAGGTTATGCTTCTTTATTA